CAAAAAATAAATAAAAATAAATAAAAAGTGATGTGACTTTGATTTGATTTGATTCATTCGATCTCCTGTGTCAGGGAGTCCTGAATAGTAGTAATAATAGTCGTAATAATAGTCTCCCAAACAATGTCAAATGACCTGTAATAAGACTCTAATGTGATCGTCTGTGCAACAGTCTTTAATGTAAAATTCTGTAATATACAAAATAAATAAATAAACATTCACAATAAAATCGCATTTTATTAGTGAAGAATACCAAGAATAACATTTCATTTAATTTTTGTTGTATGATTAATCTATATTCATCTTAGATAGCTTTTGCCCTTATTGCATCAGAATCAGCTATGTGTTATGTGCATCTTGGGGTATCTGTCCATCTCTTTGCACTTGCAGACCAAGTTCAGCAATTTGCAACAACACAGACACACTAATAAAAAGTAAAGTGTGACTGAATTTGAGAGATACAGTAATGTATTTTTGTCTTTCTGTCAAGAGCACACACACACAGCCTACACCCACACACACTGTCAGTCAATCAGTCTTTCTCCCAAATGAAATTTGCTGTGGTCTCAGACAGCTGCAGGGTTTGCTGGTTTCTTAACAACTTAATTAAGCAAATCTCCCCTTTTCCCACCGAGGTAATGAGCGTAGTTTTACAGGGATTAAACAGTCTCCAGGGTTGAAAATAAGGCTTTATGCTTGAGCAATCTTATCTGGCTTTATCCATCCGGCTAACTTTCCATCCTCAAGATTATTAAAGGAATGAGCCTTGTTAGCCTTACAGTATTTTTCTCTTTTTAATTTGCAAGGTTAATGCTAAAAAGCTTAGTGCAACATTATGAAATGAGTCTATTACATTATCTAATATGAGTTTATTCTTTCTGACATTGGGTAAAGGCATAAATTGGCCTTCTTGACTTGGATTAACATCGATAGCTGATGATCACTCATTCAGTTTAGAGGTGTCACAGCAAAGGTTTGCATATAGGTGAGTGAGAAGTTAAAGGAAAACCCATAAAAAGTATCATTGTAATGCTACCAAGAGCATCGTGAAACTCTACTGAATGGATGAACACCACTCTCCTAGATTATATACAATCATTTGGTGTTTTGATGATGGGCTATCCCATGTGTTCAGTTGGGTTGAGATCTGGTGAGTGCAGAGGCTGCAGCATATGATTCACATTGTTTTCATACACAATCCAGTCACTGACCTCTCTTGCCGTGTGAAGACATCTCCATTTGCTAAGTTTTTCAACTCATTTATTCAGAATCTTCATTTTATGTGTCAACTATCTATATATAAATGGTATGTAAATATATGCACTTTATTATATGAACAGTAGCCTACAGAATACATTACGGACTACAGTAAGGAAACCAATGTGCAATGCAAACCCATTTTCACAGTTTTGTTCATAATTTTTCTTCCAATATTCATTCTGGACCTTGGAAACAGCAATTGACAAAACAAAATGAATTCCAGGTCCATTTACTAGCTGTTGTGCTTCCAATCATAACACAAGCTCTTTACCAGTAAATGTTGTATACAATAATTTTTTTTCCTTTACCTTAGAGACATACTGTATATATCATAAATTTCCAGAAAATATAAGTTCCAACTGACAACCTTTAAGCCTAAATGCATGATTCATTCCTAATGTGCACAGAAAAATAATGAAACTTTGGAAAATTACATTTTCATCATGATGAAGATAATTTGGTATAACTGAAAGCTCTACAGCACCTACTAAATGGACCTGGAGTTGATATTCTTTTGTTGATCGCCCTTTCAGAGGTCAGGAATGAATGCTGAATTTCATCTTGGTACAAGTTCTAAAAGTGTTTTGACCTTAGAAAGAGCAGCAGACAAAACAATCACACATCAAGGTCCATGTAGTAGGTGTTCTAGGGCTTTTGATCATATCACATAATCATGATCAGCAGATGGAGTTTGCCACATTGTCATGGAATTGTAGATGTACAAATTTGCATTCCCAGTTGAAGTCTGAAGTTCATTCTTGACCATGGAGACATATATAACAAACATATATCACAATTGAAAGCTTCTGAACACCTACTAAATGGAGCCTGAAGTGAGATTGTTCTCAACTGCTGTTTCCAAGGTTAAGAAATTTAAACCTCTGCAATACAGACAAAGTCTTTGAAGTGCACAAAAAAAAAAATCGTGCAATCTGATCAAAGGCTCCAGAAAACATACTTAAAACCTTGAGATGTGATTGTTTTGTAAACCAATGTTTCTTCTGGATTGTGGCTCTTGTTTTATGAACTTGCAGTTGAAGTTTCACTTTCAGACGCATTTCTCTGACTTTTAATACAAAATTGCCAGAAACCGGTAAGGATAAATTTAACTAAACCTGTTACTAATAATAAGATAAGTCGATGTTTCTTGTTCACTAATGTCGTTTATTGTGAATACACCATGTCCCTGTTTCTTAGCTTCTACGGAGGTAAACTTGGAGAATTCTTCAGCCTTTCGCTGTGAATTTCAACTGCCACTTTCTCCAATTTTCCAACCATTGTGAGTCATCAACAATTCACTTGAGAGAAATTATTTAAAAAAGACGCCTGTTGGATATTTCAGGCCTTTCTACCCAAATCTCAGAGTTAACGGTTCTTTACATCAGATTAAAAAGTTCTTTCCTCCTGAGTCTCCAAACAAGAATACACCACAGATAAGGATGCCTTTTAAAAAAATCTTTTGTGAATTTTTTTGGGGTCAGTAGGCACTTCTTATTCTATACGCATGACGAGACTGAAAGAGTAATTACACTTTCCGACTATCTTAATGGATTATGAAAAATAATAAGCTCTTACCAGGAGATAATTAGGATGTGTAAGTACCAGAGTTGGCAAGACTGGGCACAGTTGATTATTACCTCTGGCGAGAGGCGATTGAAGTTGAAGGGCAAATTATTCCAGAGTGTGAGCAATAGCTGCAGACTTATTGGAACCGAACCACTTTTGTGAAGGTCTTAATTGGTAGATGTACAGATAAGGGAAGGAGCAACCCCCTCTGCACTCACATACATAAAGATAAGAGCCTTGTTCTGGTTCATTTAAGTTCCCCTCCAATTAGGATTGTTATCACCATGACTCTGAACTGGGTGTTGGATGTCTGTATGCTCTCATAAACCCATGAACTTGACTAATGATGTCCACTAGGACCTGCACAGCCAGGGAGGGTGTTAGATGCTACCCCCTACTGTTATTGGGATTAATATTAGGTTATTTACTACTATGTAGATGTTCTACATCTACAGCAGTGGTTCCTAACTTTTTTGGCTTTGTCTACTTGTGACCCCACATCATAGGCAATGGCCTAAGTGTGGACAACAACTGTTAGCAGTAGAGCGAAAGAGAGTGATTTTTTCTTCTCGGATTATTTCATTTGGTGGATTTTAAAGGCTTGAAGAGGTGACAGTATCTGATATTTCTCTCAAGAATCATAGAATTTTTTCAAAAGAAAAAATATTTATGCTACTTAAAATCAGGTTGATCTTATCTCATCTTCATATATTTCCTGTCAATTAGTGGATACTATCACCCCTAGGTCTCTAAAAAGTATTCAAGAAATACAAATACCACAGGAATTATCAACTCTTGGTTTCGCTGGTAACATATGTAACCTGTGACGAGGGCCGTGCAAGTGGACATAGCACCATTTTGAGGGGGTCACAAGCCAAAAAGGATCTATAGACTCCTTAAGATTTACCTTGGGACTCTGTGTTGTCCTCAATCCCTGGTTGGGAATGACTGATCCACACTACACAGCACAGTTCTTAAGTATATATACAGTGACATGTTTTCTGCTGTCTAGATTCTGAACATCAGTGCACTGGATTTGAAAGTAATCAGTGGTTGTGAGGTTAAAATGCTGACTTTCAGCTTATAACTGAGGGTGTTCACATTGATATTGGGTGAACACTTACTTAAATCCCTACTCTGTAAAGCTCCTCAAACTTAAAAGCTTAGTTCACTCAAATTACAATGAACCCATATTTTCTCACTCACCTCTGATATCTAGCCAGAAAAGTGCAGCTTTGGTTTTGAAGTTGCTGCTACAACTCACATTCAATGGAAGTGAAATGAAATGTGTTTGTGTTGCTGCAAAACATTGAAAATTACATTTTAAAAAATTCAACAGCAACATCTTTTTCCAGAAACAGTGTCCCAGTTACTCTGGACAATCCACTAAACACTCTGTCAACAGTTTCCATTCATCTTCGGTGTAAAGTAGCTTCACTGTAAACTGTTCACAGTGAGGAGTGTAGATTATCCACCGGTCTTTGGAAAGACATGTTGCTGCTGACTTGTTTTAATTTCTTTTTCCGGTCCTTTGCAGAACTACAAATGATGTTAAGAGACTCAAAACCTGGACGAGTAAAACAAACAGTATCTGCATGGCTAGTTACTGTGAGGAATGAGGGAGAAATTTGTGTGAACTGACCCTTTAATGTTATTCAAATCCATTTCAGGTTAGCAGTGGGGAGCTTGTAGCCCTTTACGTACAACCCCACCCCAAGTTTTGAAGCTGTAGAATAAGGACAGACCCACAATTTCAACACTGTTTTCTCCATATGGATGCAAAAGTTGCCTAAGCTGAAAGTCACCACCTTACCATCATAGTCATTGTCTAATTCAAGATCAATTGTGTTGACATTTTGAGCCAAAACTGTATAAAATGCATCACTGTGCAAATCCTTACAGACTGTACTGTAAACTGTACTTACTTCAGGCACACAGCAAAGAGGAGAAAGCAAGAATTATTCGGGATGACTGCAAATGCACTCTATTTCATCATCCCCATTCTCTTTCTTCTGAACATAAACCAGGAAATTTGCACAGCTGCATCATACACAAAATGACAAAAAGGCTGAGGATTAACCTGAATCTGTTACAGTGTTTGTGAGGCTGGGGTAGTGGAAGAGTCTGGATCTGGGGCTCAGATCCTATTGGGAAAGCCTACATAAGAGCCTGTTAGTCACGGTACAACTCTACCCTGATTCAAGCAGGGCTGGGTAAATACTTTTTGGTCAAGCAAACCACATGGGACTCTAAGACTGCCTCCCTGCAATCCCTGCCCAAAAACCTCTATTACACCTCTTAATGCACAGTAACAAGCTGGGTCACAGTTTATCCACTCCACTCTGACACTCAGATAAACAGACACCAATGAGAAGAGAGGGCAAGGACAAAAACTAACAGGAAAATGAAACAGACAAAGAAGCCTCACCTCACTTTTCATTTAGCATAATTTGCAAATCAATGCTGTGTAGATTAGTCTTCTATTTCAAGGTCAGTGAAGCAAGGGCAACAATGGACAATACACACCCAATCTCAGACTAATTACCAGAATTATCTTTATGAGAATATAAATTGTGGAGCTGAAATGAAACAGGGATGATTTCTGCAGCTTTGTAATTAAATAATGAGCATGTGTTGGCTTTGAGTGACTGCTCCTTATAACAGATCAATCATCAATGATGCACAGCGATGAGACAGCAACAACAAATTAACTCAAGACTATACTCTGTGGTATTTATGAAACGGGTATTGAACACAGTTGACGTACTAGGAAAACATCTTCCCAGGATGAACTGTTGGCTGTTAGTCAGCCAAGAAATAACTCAAGTCAGTGGAGACAGTCTGTATGTTTCCTGATGTAAAGTTACATCAAAGGCTGTAGGTGTCCTCAGGTAACTCTCCCAGGAGTTCATCCAAGTCATCATCTGCACAACAGACATAGAATGGAGACAGGTGAGAGCATGAAACAACTCACTCCTATTCAACTGCCATGCTAGAAAAACTACCTGTCAGAATTAGTGTTACAAAGTAAGAGTGATTAATGACATCTAAATGAAAATATGTGATGCTAAACATTTATTGAAGACATTACAGAGGTAGCTAGGAACTGAGGGAAGAGAGAGGTCAGTGGCTGGAAATGAACTGGGGATGTTGCAGTTACGTGGTCTGTTGAGAGTTTAATATCGTTTTGTGTATTAAAATAAGGTACTGCACAGTGTGTCTAACTGAACAATGCTCAGCCACTTCTGTAATTAATCCGCTTTGTAAATCACCATGAACAACAGAATCACTGTTAGGAGATGTCATCCAGACAGCACAGTAACAGGAGCAAAAATTAAGTTGAGTGTTTTATGAGCAGTGAGGGTCTGGAAAAGATTATTCGCTCAACTGATTGACATAAAAATATTCTGGAACTATATTAATAATCAATTAATTGTTTCAGTCATTTTTTTTTTTATGCCAAACATTTGCTGGGTTCAGCTTCTCAAACGTGTGGATCTGCCGTCTATCTTTGTTATATATCACTGTAAATTTATATGAACTGGTTTTGTTTTTCATAGTATATCATGGTGTATGTCAGTGTACAATGGAATGTTTCGCTACATTGGATTCAGGGCCAGAGAGTCAAATGTCTCAACATTTTACCATTGCTTCTGTTTTATTCAGAAAAAACAGCGCCTGACACTTGGGAAACTCAGGATGTGACAAGAATTAATGTCTTTCTCTCTCACCAGAAGTATTATTACAGTCAATCTGAGGGGGCCCACCTGCATCCCAGCCTGTGTCCTGTGCTGCTGGATACCCAGCAGGCTCTTGGGGGCCTCTGCTGGAGCTCACTCCAGTGCCAGTTGGAGCTCGAGGTTCTCCGTCTCCCTCTGTGCATTTTTCACCCTTTTCTCCCTCGTCATCCTCCTCGTCAAACACCAGATGCATCCGAGATACCGGCTCCCGGAGGACCGTGGGAGACCGAGTAGATGATGGCAACATCCGCTCCTGGATAGGAAAAAAAAAAAAAACATTTTGAGGGGACAGCTGACAGGTTGACAGAGCGTTTCTGGATGACAGATTTAATATTTGTTGGAATGCAACTTTGCTATTCTTGTTTTGAGCTGACAATAGTGGGGCTCACCAGGACCAGCGGGGGGAGCTGAGTGGAGGACAGACTGACTCCATCAGGGGCGTAGATCCTCAGCAGGTTGTTGGGTGTCACGTTCAGGTAATGGTTACGATGGGAGGGGGAAAACACACCAACCTGCCCAAAGAGCAAGCGGAGACAAACACCATAATCTGAATAAACCCTGTAACCATTATACATTTAGATGAGGTTAAAACACTTAACTGCAGTTTCCAACATTAGTGAAATTAAAGTTTTAAGTGATGGTGGTGTGAGTGAGTTTTACTTGTTTGAGCAGCAGTACGGTTCCAACCTTCAGCTCCTCCACTCTGTCCTCCAGGAGCTGCCGATGTACAGTCCCCTGAATCTCCCCTTCAGTCAAAGATATTAAGGATAACAGAACAATGACAAATAGCTAATCAATGTTTTTGTTTTAACAATGAAAAACACGACACAATGCACTGTGAGAAGTGCTCAGTGACAAACCCAAAGATAAATATCACCTAACTCTGCTGCTCCCCTCGGAGTGTTTTAGAGTCTTTAGGCTCATTTTGTTTTATAGCCCACTACTTCACTCTCACCATTCTCAGTGTCATTTGCCCTCACAGGAGGCAGCTGCTTGCATCACAAACGCTCTGATAAACCCAGTGTGCAGCACATACCCAGCACCAAACAGCAGAGAAGAGGGAATATTGGACTTAGATTGACCAGGTAACTAGAGACATGACTCCAAATGAATGCTAATGTTGCTCCATAACTGCTGAATGTGTAAATAACACGTTCACCCTATTGAGTTGAAAAGATGATGTCAACGATGTGTTTAGATTAGAGCTACACAGATAACTCAGTCAGTATTTATTTATTTATTGCAGATACAGTATATCGTATCAGTGTAAATGTTTGCCACTAAGTGACAAGAAACTGCAAAACAGAAAAGCCAAACTTGGTTTAAGGTCATTTAGAAACTGTCTCACTATTGCATAGCTTGTCCACCTGAGACCACTGACAAAATGATTTATACACTGTAAAATGTCTCATTCAGTGTGTATCCTGCTCCGTATCAAGTCAGTTTGTTTACATTACAATACAAATCATTATCAGATTCTGCTTTTCTGATTAATCATTCAGTCAATTAAAAGTCAGAAAATGCTCGCGGGCGCCTTGGTGGCTCACCTGGTAGAGCTCGTGCTGCGCAGGTTTAGTCCTAACCGCAGCAGCCACGGGTTCCGGTCTGACCCACAGCCCTTTGCTGCATGTCATCCCCTCTTTCTCTCCCTGACTTTCCTGTCTATCCCTCACCGTCCTCTCAGAATGAAGGCAAAATGCCCCAAAAAAACCCCAAACAAAAAAAAAAAAGTCAGAAAATGCTCATTATAATTTTGATCAGAGTGCCATTACCAAACTACCAAAAATGTTCAATTTATATGAACCAGAGAAAAGCAGCAAATCCTCTTGTTGGAGAAGCTGAACCCAGAAAATGTTTAGCTCTGTGCAGTCTCTCTTGATAAATAATGTACAGGATTAATCAAATATCAAAATTAAACCCGCTAACCTTTTCAGCACTAGTATACAGTCACCATAGGCTGACAGCAGCTCCAGAGATAACTGCCTGCTAGAGAAAAACCTGAAGAATTTCCAGCAGGTGGGAGGCGAATTACTGACAGAAAGGTCCCTCATGGTGTCAGAAGCACTTAATACTCACCCCTAATGCCAATCAACTGTAACTGAATCACAAGAAGGAAGTCTGGTGTTGAGTACAATATCCACTCCTGAGTGCTGATAATCAGAACACTTTCATTTGGCTGCTTTCTGGGGACCATGGCAACTGGCTAAGCTTAGAGGTGGATCGGACAAAAAGGGTTAAGCCTCGAGACAGAGCAGCAGAGGAAAGGAGTCAGAGGAAAGAAAGGGGCTTGGTGCTGAAGTGGCAGGACAGATGTGAACTGGACTGAATGTGTACTATATGTACATGTATATCTGTGTGTGTGTGTGTGTGTGTGATCAAGCATGTTACAGTGGCTGAACTCTGCTCTCGCACCATGCAGAGCTCAATCAGGCGAGTTCTCGGTGAGCAAAATGTCAAATGTGAAGCAAACAGCTCACAGCTTCTCCACCACCTCTCTCTCTCTCTCTGTCTTGTATTCACCATTGCTTAACACATTTATTTTTTTATTTTCCCTACAGCAGTGCAGTTTATTTGGAGCCTGGGTGTTTTTACCAGCTCCAAGATCTTTCAGTTTCTTTCTCTTATTGCACATTTATACACATTTCAACAATGAGCCTGTGTAATTATTTTGTGCATGTGCATGTCCAGTACCTGTTGGGTCTTTAAACACAGCCTTGGCATCAGCATGCGTGTGGATGATGCTCTTCAGAAGCACAGCCATGTTGGGCACTTTGTTTTTTGCCAGCTGTTTCAGTGCAGCCTATATTTATGAGAGAACAAACACACACATTAGCTTTCTTTGTTAATCTGTAATTATTGAAAATTGATTGGCAACTATTCATTTGTAAAGCAAAAATTTAGGAAAATGTTTGGTTCTAGCTTGAAATATGATAGTAAACTGAATATATTGAAATTGGAACTGTTGGTCAGGTAAAACAAGCTATTTCAGTCCTTTAGCCTTGGGCTCTGGGACATTATAATGTGATTCTTTTAAATATCGTCAGACATTTTCCAGACAAAACCACCATTTGATTGATTAATATGAGAAAATAATCATCAAAACTGAGCTTCAAACCTCTGAATGAAGCTGCGATCACATAATAACAGTTCGTCTGATCAGCAAATAAACGTTCTGCTCTCCAGTCACATATCTGTACACTCGGCCAGTAATAACAAAGCTGTTTGGCTCCATGAGACGTGTGTAGAAGTTTTAACATTTTTGTAACCCTGTTTCTTTGCATTGCAGTTCTACATGTGTTTGAATAATTATTTAAGTCCACTATTTGTAGGATTTGAAAGTTCTTTGTTTTGGAAACATTTGGTGACGGCACCAAAAATGAAGCTGTGGTGGTGCTTGAATTTTATTTATGAAACCTAATTCAATAAAAACAAAACAACTACCAATCTATATCAAAAATTCACATCCAATACATCAACCAATAGAAAATCTAACTGCCTAAGTCTTAAATCTTACCCCCCTGACTTCTGGTTTTCACCATCAGTTTAAATGTCACACTCACACAGGGCTGTGGCGATGTACCGATATCACAAATAAACAGCACTGAGCAGTATTTAATGATGGGATCACAGTGTTTCTACGCTGCATTAGGTTTAACATGTTATTGTTCAGCCAACAGAAGCAGGGAGGGCTGTGTGTTAATTTGTTTATTCATGCAAACAGGGATTCTTGGAAGCTGCGGTTCATGTAAACAGCTTAACCTGAATGAGCTTAGCCAGAGTCCTGCCAGTGACTGTGTGCATGTAAATGGAGCCGGTGACAAGCAAGCACGACATTAAACCAACATGTGTAAGTCTCTCACAGTGACTGCCACTCAAGAACACTGATAAGTTATTCCAGAGAGGCCGACACACACAGAAAGAGCAGAATAACAGCAGAGTTTCAATTAGAGTGATTGATGAGTGATCGCACTGTTTATAATTACAAAACACCTCCAGTAGGGCGCCATCATTTGTCCTGATTATGCCAACAGACCTCCAGCAGCTACACACAGTCTGTTATGATGGAGGATAAAATAAACTGCTTGACCTAAATATCAGCACACGTGTTACAGCGCCTGAGTAAAACAGTTTGAGTAAGACTTTTTTCAGTAGTTTATTCTTGTTACCGAACAACGAAAAAGGTGCGTGATGGCAATGGGAGATCACCTTTCGAAGCACCATGACCACACTGTATGAGTGCAGGAAGCACGACGGGTTCCTCTCATCAAGTCCCATCTCTGCCTTCATCGCCGCCCAGGCACCACCACTGAACTCCTCTTCCTCAGTTTGTGAGCTAGAAGCCTTTAAAATCAAATAAAAACAGTTCAATCACTCCCAAAAAAACAACAACAAGAAAAAAAACAGCCACTATGCTGATGTGATGCTGATCTTCAAGTCTTATGGTGTGCACACCTGGCATTTTTTAAGCCATTCCTGTTGCACTGCAGGCTGGACCACTTCAGTGCCTGGTTCTGAAGGTACAACAGGCTTGTAAAGAGACGGAAATGCATCCTGAAATGCTTGGAAGATCTAAACCTAATCCTGCCTTCAGGTCATGTCAGAAATATCAACGTGTGTTGTAAGTACTAAATGATAATTACCATACAAGCGGTCATTTACTGTTTCTCGTCACAATATTTTGACAAAAACATCAGTCCTGTGAATGCAAATCCATCCTGTTTTATTATATGCTCCCTTATCCTATTCAGCACTGCAGATAGATGAAGCCTATCCCAGTGTGCTCTGGGTGACAGGCAAAGGAGTGGGCCATTGTGCCACTGCCACTCTTCTCTTCCTCTTGGGCACTTGTTCTGACTATAGATAAAAACATAAAAATAAATGTTTCTTTCGTTTCAGAGAAGAAAAAAAAGCAGTTTCGATTGAATTTCCAAGGAGGAGCTAAAGGCAACACTGAGTGTAGTTCAGTGTTGAGTTTCAGTGTGGCTTAAGTATTGTGTTCTCTCACTTCTGCAATGAGTAAAACATTTAATTAATAGATAAGTTGATCAACAGAAAATTAATCTGCATGATTTTAAAAAACAATTAATCCTTTAAGTCATTTTAAAGTAAAAATGCCAATGATTCATTGGCTTCTCAGTCTGGATATTTACTGTTTTTTTTAGTTTTCTGTGATATCAAATTGAACATTTGGGTTTGGAGCTGTTGATCAGACAAAACAAAGACACTGAAATATGTCAGCTGGGGCTTTGGGAAATTTTTCCACTATCCTCTGACATTTCATAAACCAGACAAAGAAAATAATCAATAGATTGTGGTTAGTTGGGAGTTCTAGATTACATCAGAGCTTTGATTGATGCTCATGCCACATCAAAATATAACAAGTTTTCATGCATTTTGTGCAGGTACTTGTCCCTGTTGCTAGTTTTATTACCTGGCTTGGCAACCGAGCCACAGCACCATGGGCAGGAGTATGAGGAACAGATACCACTATGTCGTCCAGGCTCTGACCCTGCGGCTGAGAGAGAACAATCAAATTAACTTACAGCACAATGGTGGAAAAACAAACAAATAAACAATAGATTTCTTTGACAGTTGTTTCATTTGTACTTAGGTGGCATATGTACAGAGCAACAGCTGACACACAGCAACCAGGTAGATACAAACAGACGGAAGGAATTTCAGCTGCGTGGCAGAGGGAGAGCACCAGGGCTAGGTGGCACTAACCTGCTGTGGCAGGAGTCCAGCGGGGCCGGGGAACCGCCGGGGCCTGCGCCGGTGAGGCTCAGAGCGAGGCCTCTTCTTAGGAGGCTTATTGGAGGCTGATACCAGCTGGACCAGGCGGTTAGTGAGGACCGGTGTGTGAAGAGGATGAGGGCTCAGAGTGGGGGAGCTCACAGAGGAGGAGGAAGGTGCTGGGGAGACTGTCTCAAAGAGGCCACCGGCCCGAGGGGAGGGTCCTGGAGTTGCCCACTGTCTCTGTGGCCTGATGAGTGTCCTGGAAATTGGGCTGGGGGCAGGAGAAGTTGCAGTGAGACCAGGGAAAACACTAGGAATGTGTGGGGAGGCTGATATGAAAGAAGTACGGGGAGCTGGAGATCGCACATGAGCAGTGGAGAGGGTCCTAGGAGGTAGGCTATGACTAGATGAGCCATACGGTTGGTGTGCAGCCAGAGTCCGTTCAGGTAGTGTTTGAATCCCTCCACAGGTTGCAGGTCGAAGCATTTTGGATGAAGATGGAGGCTCAACTGTGGGCGCAGGTGGAGCAGGAAGCGGCTGCCCCATCTGGCCATCACACTCATCCAGGTCTGCCAGGTCAACATCCCAATCATCAAAATCATCCTGAGCCACACAGGGCTTAAGCAACCCCCCAGTATTAGCATGACTCTGTGGTGGTGCAAAGTTAGGCTGAGTATTTTTCAGTGTGGGAGGACAGGGGGGGTGAGGCTGAGGGGTGGAAGACGAGGAAGAAGAGGAGGAGGAGGAGAGCTGTCTTAAACCCAGAGCAACAGTTTGTCCAGCAGCAGTGTGCGTGCTGCTTCTTGATGCTGTGCCATTACACAGGGCAGCTGATCTCTCTGCAGTTTGCTGAAGGCGATTTTTCACCGGATCTCTGTGAGCAACAGAGGAGGCACGCAGCGTGCAGGATGACACAGCAGCTGCCACATCGGCTGGTCCAGACGCCGAGCGGACAGGCCAATCTGTCCCGAGCAGGTCCTGGGAAACACACGCACAGTGTGAGACATATTGGACAGAAGGAAGACAATTACGTTACAGACTGTGAGCAGTCCGCACTGACAGTTAAGTAACAGCTGAAATCAGGTGTGTTCGAGTCTGCTGATTATCACCTCATCATCAAAGTCCTCGCCAATGCTGAACAGGCCACTTAACTTACAGGTCTGTAACAAAGGTGACAACACACGTCAGATGCAGTACTATTTAGCAGAAAATGGTCTAATAAAGTAAAACAAACTGTCATACGCTAAAACCTAACGTCTTATTAGCATATCATATGTTAGCCTAGTTAGCTCAAGCTGGTTTTAGTTTTCTAGGTTTGCTCACTTACCATCGCAGTCATGGGATATCAAGGAGGAAAGCCGTATCTGATCGGTTTGCTTCGCAAGACACCGAGTGCCATTCAGTAACCGCATATAAATATAATTTTCTTGTCTTTTTTAATATACCTTTACTTTGACAAACAAACGCTACTAGCCAACGAGCTAAATTAAAAGTTTTTTTCTCGGCTGCAGCTCGTTAACGCGCCTCCACGTTCAAACATGACGTAATGACGTAAGAAATGTTTATACAAAGATTGTTAAAGCAGAGCGAGAAGCCAGAGGGTTCACTCCTCAGCACGTCCGTCGCCGCGTTCAAGCCAACAAACTTGAGTCAACAGGAAGAAGTTTGAACGCTTACAATTCCATAACAACTGGGCAAACATCTAGATCAGCTGCTAACGGATCCTGTGGTAAGACTGCTTTGCCCGTGGCTTTTTAGCTTTTAGGATTCCCATGCCATCTTATCTGTTAGGTTAGGCAAAAACTTTTTTTGTTTTTTGTAAACTATTTATTTTAAATTAAAACTCTAAATCTTTTTTACATCCTGAATAACAATATATCTTAAAATAATCTGTAAGTAATGAAAGGGGTGAATAATTTTCCAAATATACATTAGCCAATATTGTTTTCATATATCAATTTCCTCCAGCAGAAGAAAATGGATGGATGGATAGATGGATGAATTCCCTCCATCCATCTATCAAATCAAACTGTCTTCCTCGCTAATTGTCCACTGTCTCACTCAAGGTTTTTGCATAATTATTGGCTTTGCATAAATCGGGGATGTTTTCACAGTAGCATTTCCGTATTTTGCCTTTTTAAATCGTACGGAAGCTGTTAATGGCTGAAGTTTTGTCAGATATAGTTGCCCTGAATCAGCTTTTTCACATTTACAGTATCACATATGCCTAAGAAACAATGTAATACTCTACAACACATTTTAAAAGTTGTGACTGGATCAGGATTTTGTATTTTGACATTTCTTTATTCTTTGGTTTACTTGACTGTTTTAGGGGCTATAAATGCTGGATCAATGCTGTCATCTGGTGGCCAGACTGGATAAGTCAAGTGTCAGCTTGCATTCTGATCTATTAATAACTAGTGCTGAAGTTGTATTTGAGCGACAATCTTGTGACTGCACTCACAGAGAAAGGGCATTTCATGTGGACGTCTTCATGTTAAAGTTTAACTTAAAAGGGAAACACAACTGATTGCAGTTATGAGAGCTTTTACTTGACCGCTGTGTGGACCCCTGTGATTCACTGCAGTCCCAGTGAAGGGTGAGTAACTGTCGGCTGCCATTTTTGTAAACACTACTGTCCAGAGTGTTGGAAGCAAGACTCTGTTGCTTTATCGACTTTAATGTATGGAGTTCCAGCTCAGACCAAAAGGGAAAATTGCATAAAAGACATTTCTCTTGTACTGACACTAAGGCGCCATGTCAAAGGACACATTTCCTTTCTCGTCTACCTCACTGCGTTCTCTGAGACTGGAGCAGGAGTATCAGGAGTGGCAGGATGCTCGACGAGCATTGGCTCAGAGGAGAGCCCTCACCAGGGCCCCTCTGCCCCGAGCCCCCAGGCCTCCTCCCAGGCAGCAGCGGCTCCAGGAGGTCCGGGCACCCCCGCCCCAGGCCCGCTGCAGAGACACGGCCATCCACAATACCTTCATGTTTGGAGACATGAAAGGAGTGTATGCGGTGCTGAAGGACCCAGCAATGGTCAACGCTCTGATGGAGACAGTGCATGAGGAGATGGTGTGGGCTCCAGAGATGGGTAAGACTTTCAACATTTCTTTGTTATTATCTTACATAAATGATTTTAATTACTTGACAGCCCTTCTGTTTCTCTGTCAGGCATGTGGACGCTGAGCTCCAAGGTAAAACAAACCTCAGCATTACGTCTGGCTGCCAGCAGAGGACACATAGGATGTGTGGAGGAGCTGCTGTTTCGTGGAGCTGAGGTGAACGCTGACCCCGGAGGCAAGACCGCCCTCCATGATGCCTGCATAGGCGGCCACGCTGCCTGTGTCAGGCTGCTGCTTTCTCATGGAGCAGATCCTGAACTGCTGGCTGCAGATGGCAGCGCTCCTCTTCACTTCTGCACCTCTGCGCAGTCGTTCCAGTGAGTGGTAGAGGAGCTGAAATCACTAGCAGCTGACTATTTTTACTGAACATTAATATCAATATTCTGTTCTCTGTTAGGTCCAAGTTGCTCTCAGGGTTCAATGAAGTCCAGCATCAACTTAATCTTTTCTTAACCTGAAAAAATACTGTAAAGGTCACTTCAATTGCCTGTCAAGAATGTAAGAAAATTCAACTTTTCCTAAAGGCTTTGAGAATCACCTCTTTCAAGAAATTACCAAAAACAGCAGACACAAGAGCGGCCCACTTTTGCAATGAAGATATTGATGCTTGTCCATAGTGTGATCAGAATTTTGTGCACTTCGTTCCAGGTGTGCTGAGTTGCTGTTAGAGGGAGGTGCAGAGGTCAACGTGAGGATGAGGGAGTCGAGGCTCACACCTCTGCACGTGGCGGCTCGGCGAGGCCTGGAGGAGCATGTGGAGCTGTTTCTGAGCCATAGGGCAGATGTGTTGGCCACAAATCAAGAGGGGGAGACCCCTCTGAACGCTGCATGCTCCGGAGCTGAGAGGCCGTCTGAGTCCAGCCGCTACCTCCATGCGATTCAAATGCTGCTAGATGCAGGAGCTGACCCCAGAACTGCAGGCAGAAAGCAGCACACCCCTTTGCACAACGCCTGTGCAAACTGCTGCTCCAGGATTGTCAACGTCCTCTTGCAGCACGGAGCAAAAGCCGATGTCGTAAACTGTGCAGGATACACACCAATGGACTGTCTGTTGCAGGTAGCAGACGTAGAAGTTTACAATCTTTTAAATATAGTCATAAAGTAAAAGTAAAGAGATACATTTTTAGCTCCAGCAGAGGTATGAACACTTATTTGCTTGTTCTTTAAGGTGGTGGAAGATTATCCGGACCAGCAACCTGAAACAATAGCACGATCACTTCTGAACCACGGAGCCAAGCCTGTTTCACCAAAGGTTCAGTAAAAAAAAAAAAAAAAAAACACTGAGAGAATGTGGTGACCGACACATGTAAAGTCAAGTGTTATCTAATGCGGAGATGGTTGACAGGTGCAAAACTGTGAAAGAAAAGGATGAATTCTCGCACACTGGCTGCTCTGAGTTCATACAACATTTTGTTTGTGGAACTTTGTCCGCAATCACTTTCACAACCTGGAACAACAACATGTTTATAACAAAGCTAAACTTCTAACTGATACAATTAACCAGTCTCACTGGGAATGTGTTTGAAAAAATATTATACAAAAATGATAACACCTGTTAATAAGTATATTGATGAAAACTAGGACAACATAATATATTACAGTATAAGAAAGCTATTCCACTAAATATCAAGTAAATAATTCACGCAAAAACTCAAGAGTAATTTGGCCAATATTTTAATGCAGTAATAAAAGATATAGGATATATATATATATAAGAAATAGTGGGAGGTAACATGACAAAAATGGCCCTGCCACATGTAATACTGTTAATATGTCCTATCAATCAAGTTAGACAGACAAGGATTACCCCCTGAAATCCTCTCCTTCTTTTAATGTAGTTTGAGTCAACAGTGTTTTTAAATTCAGTGAAATTCTTGCTGTTCTCTGTCCTCTCTACAGATGCTGAAACAGTGTGTCCTCTCTCCAGCCACTCTGGAGGTGATGCTGAACTCGTATACATCTGTCCCTCCCTGTGAATGGATGGACTCTCTGTCCGCTGAGATATATGAGGTGAGCTCTCTGCTTCTTCTCTTCTTCTTTATCATCCAGGGTTCTAGTTTTTGTTTGTCCCTCTCCGCCTCAGGAGCATCGGCCTTTCTTTAAGTTGGTGCGTGAGCGGAGCGTGCAGCCTCGCTCTCTGCAGCATCTGTGTCGATGTGCCTTACGCCTGCACCTCGGAGCCCAGTGTTACTCAGCAGTCAGTAAACTGGACATTCCCAGCACGGTGAGGGATTATCTGCTGCTGTATAACGACGGGAGGCTCAAGTGACTTCATGTTGTACACATGATCCAACAGGATGGTGCTGTTTCATAAACATTGTCTGAAATTGACAAATAAAAACCTGATTCTGTTATTTTATTTTTTAAACTAACTTGGACAATGTATAACTTCAAAAATTACAATATTTCCCTGTGGACTTTCTGGAAGAAAATACAAATAAACTAACGTTTACAACCTGGTTGATTATTATTCATCTTCCATTTATTCAGGTTTGGTTTGGTACTTTTTATTTATTATTAATTTCTGCACTAATAATTCACAGTGCTAATAATATAAAGCTTATGATATGCTTTTGTTATTGTCTATACAAGGAAAAAATTAACCCTAACATATTTACTCAAACATTGTAGATACGTGTGAGACTGAGGTACTTTGAGTATTTCCATTTAATATTACTGATATTATGTGATGCTGATAAATGCATTTCTGCTGATAATACTTGTGCACTTTAACTTAGCTTTAATACAGGATTTATTTGTAATAGTGTTCTTCCATTTTGATATTGCTACTCTACTCCATGAATACAACTCCATGGCTGCTAAAGATAATGGATTGGCTATAACCTTGTAAATAGCATGTCGATAAAAAACATATTTCCATTGGTCTAGTAAACACACAAAACTGCTATTACCTTTCTGTGGGTTGTTTACAGTTGTTACTGTATGAGCAGGAGCAACAGAGGCAACCCGTTACCAAAACAAGCGCTCCCTCCCCAGGTGATGACGTCACGCATTCTCCTCAGTGTTTAATATGTGGTATTTGAGTAGCAAATTCTGACTAGCATTCAGCCTCGTTTTCAAACATGCTCTGATTTTCCAGCAGGCAGGTAAGATCATATGGTTTCTATGCTGCGAAACGTCCACACAAATCACCATGCTCGGTTTGTTAAAACCGCTGTGACGACTCAAACCGAGGAGCGAGAGTCGTAAACAGCCGAAGGTCGTTTTTCAGCTAGCAGGGTGGGCTAGCTTACAAGCTAGCTTAGCTCGCTAACTGTTCGGTAGGAACAACGGGTAAACTACAACATAACAAGTTAGCAGCGCAACAGACGAGCTTTCATAACAGCACACGTTTCCTAAAAGGTTGACTGTCGAGTATAACGACTAACAGGACGGGAGAAAACACAGCTGACACAGGTTTGAGTAGCTGGATGGTTGAACCTAGCATCACAGCTACAAGTAACAGCTGTTGACTAGCCCTTATAGCTGCTGCGGATCTTTATGCAAAGTAGTTTTCACCTTAAACGACTTTGTACTCGGTAATGCCTCATAAAAGATAACTGTCTGTCCGCAATCCTGATTGTAATAAGAACATCTGGCTGTGAACTACTGTCTATATACTATGTTTTTATGTGAGGAGACAGGCAAACGTGAAGAAAACCGAGGTTTGTGTAATTCATGTTTTTGAGTAAAGTAGCTTTGTCCTCATTATCTCAGTTTGCTCGATCAAAAAATAAAACTTTTTACCTGTTGCAGTTACAGCTTTTTCCGTAACCCTTTTCCTTCCAAAAACAAAAGAAAAAGGAATCAAACTTTACATCATCTTTTGTTTTCTACTGTCATTATATACGCCATGGGTGGGACTTACGGATAAATATGTACAGGTTATATTGTTATGATTATCTATATTATTTATTAGAGTTAATCAGTTAACAGTTAAATTAATCAGACTAGTTAGATAATCGTCATCTTTGTGATGGTAAACTAAATACCTTTGGGTTTTGGAGTGCTGGATGGACAGAACTGGCAATTTTAGGTCGCTGCTTTGGGTAATTACACTTGGCCACTTTACTGTCTTCTAACAATTAATTGATTAATTGCAACGGTAACTCAGATTAATCAATAATGAAATTAATCATCAGTCACAGGGAATGCCTTCTTGGTAAATCCAGTGAATTTGAAAACGTGATGAAAAAAGGTATTTTGTCACACATGCGCAAAAATCCTTTAAATTTGGACTTGCTATAAAACAGTCCTGCTGCTCACTAATAAACAACATTGTCCACGATGACCTAACACAACCAGAGATAAAGGGGCAAATACCATGGTGTGAATCAGATTGCAAATTCCCTAACAGCTGACACATTTGGTTTGAGTTACAGTACATGTATTGTTATGTATCGCCCAGCCTTGCCATGTTGTTTGTGGTAGGGTTAGGGTTAGGAGAGGCTTGGAGAGCCTTTAACATTGTGTTTAATCTTGCTCAATGTTGCGACTTTGCTTTACAGATTGTAAAGCCCATGTTTTTCCAATGTGTTTGTCTTCATCAGGTGTGGAGGACAGAGATGGCAGTGTGTGCACTGACCATGTTGGATGGGATGGAGGAGGAGGTAACAGCAGCAGGCGGCGTGTTGCTCCTGGTCCTGGCCCTCATCTTGGCTTGGCTCTCCACTCATGTGGCTGATCGGGGAGACCACATACTGGGCACCATCCTCACTGTGGGTGCTCATGCCTCTCTGATCGGACTGGGAGGTCACGACAGCTACGGTGGAGGGTCTCCCAGCACTGACACCCCTGAACAGCAGACTCCTGCACCTTCACAGGAGAACAAGCCAGATGATGGCGAGCAAGGGACTGAGAGAGGAGAGGGGGAGGGAGCAGAGGGTGTTAGGACAGATCTGCTCCTGGACATTCAGAGCAAACAACCGCAGGCTGGAGGACTACATACTTCTGATGAGGAGGATGAAGAAGTTGACGAGGAGGAGGATGAGGAGTCGTCGCTAGAAGAGGAAGATAAAAAGGTTATAAAGTCTATGACAGCTTTGACCAATACCATCGCCACATCCACAACTTCTTCTACCACTTCCATTTCTGTCCGACTTAAGTTTTTAAATGACACGGAGGAGGTGGCTGTTGTAGAACCAGAGGATACAGTGGGAGTACTGAAAAGGTTGGTAAACATCCACATATAAACTTCAAGCATTAATCTTAAACATGTCTTTTAATGGCTCTTGTCTCTCACCTCTTTTCCTCTCCAGTAAATACTTCTCAGGTCGGGAGCATCAGATAAAACTGATCTACCAAGGCCAGTTGCTGCAGGATCCCAAGAAGACTCTGTTATCGTTAAACATCACACACAACAGCGTGATCCACTGCCACATCTCCCAGGTTCTGCACGAGGCCAGTGCAGAGGAAGGGGCACAGCCTGGAGCAGGAGTTGGGTCTGGGGTCTCTGGGGGATTCAGAGCTGCAGGTGTGGCCATCAGCACCAGCAGCCTGGTGGTTCCTGTGTTCGTGGTGATACTGGCTGTGGTGTGGTACTTCCGCATCAACTACAGGCAGTTCTTTACAGCTCCTGCGACCATCTCCCTCGTGGGAGTCACTGTGTTCTTCAGCTTTCTGATATTTGGGATGCACAGCCGCTGAAAAGGCAGAGATGGCACACGCTTACAGCTGAATGTTTTGAGGTACAATAAAAATAACTATAGCTGGTGGGCGAGTGTCTAGAGAGATGGACTAATCAAAAAAAAGGTCCTCGGTGCAGATACCACAGCTGATAGGAGTGTGAGTGAGTGTGTGGGTGGTTAGGTGAGCCTGTTTGTGCATGTACCAAGATAAAAAAAAAAAGTGTGATTGTACAGTATATATGGGTAAATAATAATCTGCAGTGAGTGAAATTCTGCTTAAACTGAACCATAATTTAGCTTCTCTTCAAACCTGACTTAGTGGTTCACACCATGTTTTAACAGTCTGGCTTTATCTTGTCTGTTTTTCTTGTTGTTAGTCCAGTTTCTGTGTTTTAAAAAACTTAACTGATAGATGCAAGAATCTAAAATCTTTTGGAACCACTCACTGTTGTGCTGTGTGTGCCAGTTTGACTCTTAGTACCATTATTTTGTGTTATATGAATGATTCAAGTTCTTTATAAGCAAATATAAACTATACAGCTGCCTCGGTGCTAGGCTGAAAAGTTCAGATATTTTTGTTGTTCAACAATGTTGCTATGTAGAAACGGGCTAATTTAAATAATCAGTTAGACATGACAGAGACTTTTCGAGAAGATATTGTAAATATATTGTGTATTTTCTGTAAATAAAATGATCGAATGAATCAGATGAACCTGCATCTGGCACTTAAAGATTTGGAGGGGGATATCAAACCCTCCTGATTATGCTGGACTGCTCTGGCTTCAGTGATGTCTCAAATTAAAGCATTTCAAACCAAACTTGTTTCACTATCTGTTCATGGTCTAAAGAACTCAGTCTCTGAGTACGGTTTGTGTTTATTTATATACAAACATCAGTATGCATGGCAGTGAAGAAAAATAACCTATGCATCACATTATGTTGAGATACGACAGTCATTCACACATGCACTCATTTGTGCTTGTGCATGAAAATATATTGAAAACCTACAACATTGCATTCTCTGTCAGTGCACTCGCACAGATACACAAAGAGCCACAAGAGAACATCAGCTGTTAGCTTCTTTCACAAAAGGTGGCTGGAGAATCAGATCATACCTAAGTATCTCAATAACAGTTCTTTTATCTTTAGTGCACGTCACAAGACTACTGCAAAAGACTCGAAAGGGCACAATCAAAGTTACTGCAGACCCTGACAAACATGAAAAAAGTAGTTAGCCATAGAGGAAATTAAATCATTTCTGAAATGTACAACTGAATGTGCTTGACCTGAGGGAGTGTACAAAAATGATTGGGGTGTTTTTCATAGAAAGGAAATGTGACGTGGGCTCAGATGTGGGGATATTAATAATCAAACATGTATTTTTAAATTTGCTGTAGCATGATATGCTTAAAGAAGAACAAGTTTAGAGATTTCAGCATTGATGGACAACATCAACAAAAAAAACTCCATCTGCAATCTAAAGGAATAATCTTCTAATGCCCTGGAATTTTTTGTTACCCTATCCACTTGGACCTATGTCTATTCTGTTCTTCAAAACTGACAAACTGATCGTACTATTGAGATATGACTATTGTTCGCTGTATACAGCCAAACACACTTGTATGACCCAGCCATGTTTTTGATGTCACTATTTGCTCTGTTTGTCTTGTCTCTCAAGAGTAAATGAAAAAAATATATATATATTTTGGAGTGGGACAATTTAATTCTTTCAAATATTTAATCCCAAAAACAAAACAACTCCCCCTTCTTGTCTTCCCCAAATTATTTTTGTACAGTTCCTAAGTTTTACAATTCACTTCTGAGTCTACAACAAAAACTGCAACAGGAAAGTCTTTGGGTTTGTCAAGCCAATTTATAAGAAAAAAAAGCTCTAAGAAGAAATACTGCATCTCACCTCTAAAGCGTGTAATACATCTTACAACTTTTACACCGGACATCGTTGGTTATAGGCTTACAAGATGCAGACTTACCACCCATGATCATGAATGATAAGCAGAGCTGCAGCATTGATCTACTTATATGTAGAAACTGAGTGAAAATACACAAGCCAGTTCTGTACTGAAGAAAGAAAAGAGTTATGGTGGATTCATGATTCAATTTCCATCTCATGTCATACATACATGTACTGTACATGTGCCCTAAAAGCCTATTGGCTAATCAAATATCAAAATCTGCATTTACACACAAATAATATACACATCACTTAATAGGCAGTGACAAATAAAGACTTAAATATATTGTTGATGTAAACAGAAAAAAGTTAAATATTTAAAATGGCACATACTTTCACAAAAATGTCACATTCTAGGATGCATAGTTTTGTGAAAATATAAATGATTACACACATGCACACCCTTTAACCACACACATACACACACAGTACACGAAAAAGTGACGTTCACGCTGAATTTAAGTCAGCATACAGAGGCGCGCGCACACACGCATACACACATACACACACACAAACTGTGCAATACAATGCTAGAATTAAAAAGCCACTGATGAGTACTCCAGTATACGTGTGTCAAGTGTCAAATTTAAAGCAGTTAAAAGTCCACGCTTCCTCACAACCAAGTTGAAGTGAACACAGAGTCAAAAAAAAGGAGGGACAGGTCACAAGGCCGCAAACAATGACAGAGTACCTGAAGGTTTCAGAAAGCCACATTTAAGATTTCAACTTTTTCCATGCCTTTGAGGAAAAAATAAAAAGCCAGGTGGATAAATCAAGACTGCCAATCGGCCTTTTCAAGAACAGGTATTTTGACTAGTCACAGCAGGACGAGCACAGGAGTAATTCATTCTGTTGACTAAGGCTGTGTTCCATTTAAGTGTATCAGTACACACATCAGTGAGCAAACATACACACTGACAGAACCCCGAATTTAGGAAGGCTGAAGGCTCTTATTAATATTAATATTATAAATTACACCAGAGGTTTTCCTCCTAAATCGAGTCAAAATTGTTGCTGTGAAAAAGGCCATTCACAGTGTCTCTTCAAGAGAAAAGTAATTTAGCTTTTCCAGCATAAAATTAAATCGAGGTTAGTCCTATTATATTGTACAGCTCAGTTTTAATTGTGAATTTCAAAAACAATTCTCTACTTCAGCTGATCAACAGAGACAGATTGTAGTGATCGTGTCATTTAATACAAATTCTGCAGCTGCTTCATCTATATGGTCAAAACTATGTGGACACTTCAGTCCACATTCCTTTGTATACATACACTGGGGCTGTTCTCATGATTGGAGCCATGTCCGTTACTTACAATCAAAGGTAATCTAAATGTACAACAAAGTGATGTTTTATACAATAATGTACTTCTGACTTGAAACAGTTTGGGAAAGAATCTTTCCCTGTTTCAAAATGACGAAAGCCTTGAGCACAAAGCCAGGTCCAATAAGAGATGGTTTTCAGTTTAGTTCGGTGTGCACAGATCCCTGATCTCAGCCTAATCCAACACTTTCAGGATGAAGTGGAACACAGACTGTGAGCCAGGCCTTATCACCCAACATCAGTGTTGGATCTCACCAATGCTTTTGTGGCTAAATGGGATCAACTCTCTACAGCCAGGTTCTAAAATCTGATGGACAGTTTTCTCAGAAGCGAGGAGGCTGTTATAGCAAACTTCAAAGACGGTGGTTTAGGAAATACGTGTTGAAGAATCACATAAAATGTTCAGCATTCTTTTGGCCATATAGTGCAACAGTGTCAATTGAAATTCTTCTTGGAAGCCTTCCAATCATGTAAAATGTATTACACTGAAACAACATTTCAGATGACCCACAGTTTGTTACTGGTGCAAGTTCAACAGACCAACTATAAAAAATGTCACATGAATGCACTGTCACCCTGATATACACATTAGGGCAACAGCAGCTGTCTGTGTTGACCAAACTGTCCAAATTACTGCAAAAGTCAGAAGACTGTTTTAAGACTGAATTTCCCTAATACGTACCTAAAGATGCTCTGACTGGACTCTGTGACTGACCAAACCTTTTCAGACACTGTGTTCAATAAAATGGAGACGCCTTACTTGTTAAGGCAGAATGATTTAAAAACCACTAAAATCAAGTTTAATCCCAACCTGCTCATACCTGTGAATGTAGGTATGAAAGGAAGGACTCGATCCAGAGGAGGCAAACAGGTTGTTGCTAGTTTAAGTCATCATAGATACTTGAAATAGAAGGTGCTGAGAGTTTGGGCCTCTTTTTTTTGGTCGACAAGCTGATATTACTCTGAGAGCTGCTGCTGCTGCCTCCAGTCAGACTTCCTCCTCCTCCGCCACTATTCAAACCGAGAGACGTCCTCTTCTTCTTCTTCGGCTTTCTTGAATCTGAATGGTTGGTGCCTGTGAGAAGGACAAAAAGTAATCCATCCATTGTCTATAAGCTCTATCAATAAATGACTTTCGTATACCATATTATTTCCTTACTGGCTTTAGATGAGGCAGAGTCAGTGGGTGAGATATCAGGGGAGTCTTCCCACTGCAGGCGGCTCATCAGGGTCTGTCCATCTGGAATGTCAAAGCTGTCGTTCTCCGCCACAGTGTCTGCATCTGGCAGCGACGGCCTACCCCAAGAAACGCAGACAAAGCCACACAATGTTAAGACTGGTGAGGACTGCTGAAGATTTCCAGCTCACAATTTAACCACAGTAACTCTACATGTTTACAATACCATAGCTTTATTAAATATAGGGGCTGTAAAATTTCTATCATCTCTACATCACAAAGTGACCACAGTGTATTTGTAATTGTTAGACAGCGTCATTAATCCACATAGGTTACGCATCAGTTATCAGGTGTCACCTAGACCCACTCACTTCTAATCACATTTGTATTCTACACAGTTTATGTAGTATTTACTTACTACTTGTGATGATTTTGGAAATAATTAACTATAACTTGTCTCTCGAGCTGAAACAATTAGTCATTCAATTTCAAAACCTCTCTGTGATACAAAACGGTTCGCCAGTGAAATGAGAATGAAATCAGCACATTAACGATTATGAAAACAAGCCCTACTTCTCTCTACAGTGAAACTATGACTTTACTGTTATCAAACACAGATGGGCTGAAGGTGTGTGGGGTGAACTGATTTTTTTCTTTGCATAAGGATGCCATTTTGGAATAATAAAAATGCAGACTTTCTGGCAGAAAAAAAAAATTGAGGATGACTTTGATAAACATGTTTGATATTATATCACTTTTGATCACCTCTTCAGCCTGCCAGCAGCTAAATATGTTACAGCTGTACAGCAAAACATTCATGTTTGTGAGAGGTCTGTCAATAAGAGTTTGTCAGTGTTAATACATGTATGTAGTTTATTTTTTGTGATAACCCAGAGAGTCATGTTAATTCATTTTTAGCATTTCAAACTAAAATATCAACCATAGGAAAATAAAAACATATGCATAATTGTTTATTTACATTTTCTAAGGCTTGACATATTATATGGAGTCTGTGGGTGAAAGTTGCATGTATGAGTGGCATAAATTATCTGCCCAAATTGTACACATACCACAGAAACCCATTCTGGGCCAGGAAAAACTTCAGTGGTGATCTATGATCTTTAATTTATGATAAAAGGTCACAGAATACTAGGTGCCCCTTCAGCTGAAGTGTACACCTCTGTTAAGGAATATTCACAACCTTTGTCAAAGTGAGTATTCACAACATTGACCACGAGCATTGTTGTGTTCCCGCCTCTGGCCAACCCAACCGATCAGAAACAGTGAACTGTATCAGCAAGCAACTGCACCATGAGGGCCAAAACACGCATTCAAACATGACTTTTGTTAGGTACACTTGCGGGTGGGGGTGGGGGTGGTGGTGGGGGGGTGGGGGGGCAGGGCACACTCACCCGACGGCCCCAGGAGGAACACCCTGACGGCCCTCCTCTGTTCGTCCGTGTGCTGGGGACATCGCTGAGACCTGGTGGAACACAAGGTGGCATTATATATCCCTGACTGTCCGCCACACAGCTTCATGAATCACCCTGCCTCTATCGACAGCCACAGGTAGGGAGGGAGGTGGGACGGACTGCTGTGGACACAGTCAGTGACCAATCACATGGGGCAGAGCAGCAACGAGGTGTTAAGGGTAATGAAATGTTAGAAATTGGTCACTGACAAGGTCCTCCATGATCTAATTAAAATTATCTGTGTGTAAATATTGTTGATTCTGAGATCTTTGCAGAATTGAATTTTCATTTTTCAGGGAAAGCAAGTCAATTACTGGTCTAATGAGTTGCCACTTGTGTACCCCTGAGTTAGTCCCAACATACATGATCATTTTCAGAAATACACAGATGAAACTGATCATGTTTCCAGAGTTCACATGCAACCGTGACCTTCAGTTTCAAACAGCATGTCTAAGTGGTTTAGTACTGGACAAGTTTTCATGACAAAGCTTCACAGAAGAGCCAAACTGAGGGACGTAAAGACACTGACCTCAGATTTGGATAACTAACATGGCAACACCAACACAAGCCGAGTTGGTACAGTACCTGAATCTGTCCTGCATTATCCCAGATATTCGCTACACATGAGAAGTTAACCGTTTTCCCAGAGTGAAAAAGTTTTATTATTAGTTCATCTATGTGCCAGCAGATTTACAGTAATTACCTGGTACACATCTTCTTGGTGTGCTCAGAGATCACCCCACATTGCTGTGAAAACAAACACTGCATTAATGATCAACATCTGCAAAATCAAAAACAGAACAGAAGAAATGAATGAAATAGAAGCTCTATAAACTTAAATGGATCAATAAAAGTTGCTTACTGTTGTTAAAAGGGATCTGACTTCATCAGGGCCTAATGTTTCATAACTGATGCCAGTATTGTAGTTATACTGAAAGACATACAAGTGCCATTATTAATACTGTGCAATGTGTTTACAATACAAAATGGAAGAACATTTTGGTCTTAAAGGCAACAGGAACAGCAAGAAACTTGTCACCTTGTAGGGCTCTGAACTGATGCTGCTCCCAAGCTCACCTGAAAAAAATATAAGTTAGTCCGCTTTACCCATAATGCATACACCATTAAAATGTTAACAAAATGGGACTGTGGGTCAATACATCTGGTACTAGATTTTAGGAATATTACTCTTGCCTTAGACAATGTCATATATCAAAAGAATAATAATCTGTGGGCAAGCTTATTACAAATCCCAGCCTACAAATAAACAGTTTTAATTCCCCCAACATTGTATTGTGCTGGCATTTTGGTTCTGGATCAGTAAATCTAAAAGGAGAACCTTTTGCTTGTATAACTTCTCTGTCATTGTAATATTGCTGTTTACACTACATTGTGGTTGGCATTAGATACTAGCAGGTGTCCATATTCTGCTTCCTGTAACTGAGGAAACTGCATGCACAGAACATTGTGATGCAACACAATAATCAGTCTTCAAGTCTGTTAAACAGACCAGTGAGCAAAACCTCCAACAACAAGTCTAAGGCAGAAACGCTGCAGACATTTACTCCATATTCAGAAAACATTGGGGACCAAACCTCTTTGCTAGACTACAAAACTAAATACCTGATAGACTCACCATTTTTGTGTTTTAGAGATTTGGATCTTCTCGGGGAATTTTGATTCTGCATGAAAAAAAAAAAACATCCAGATAAAATTAACCTCATTATACACATCAAAACCTATATTAATGTACTAAGTGCAAAAGGGAAAACAAATGCAAAAATACCTTATCTGACTTTCTCTTCTTGGCTGTAAAAAAAAAAATACATTTGGTTATTATGTGAAAGTAACCTGGAGTTCTCCTAATAATTTTCTTGGCACAGCAAGTATTTTCTGGTACTTACCTTTTTTTTCTGCCCCATACGACCAGTCATTATCATTAAGGTCATCATTGTCTTCCTGATCACTCTCTGATTTGCTCATGTTGTTATTGCTGGCTAGCCTGTTTAAAAGCAGAAAAATAATCTCATTAGATGTTCAGACGTTTTGGATAAATACAGCACAAATAAATACATCAGTCCTTTATTGACTTACCTGCGGTTGGCAATACGACTGCTGTTGCGTCCCATACCGAGACATTTCTCCAGGTGTGGGGCAAAGCGAGAAGCTGCTATCAATCTTTTGCAGTTTGGACACTCACACTCTTTGTTCTTCCACTGATTGTATACCTGGCCAAATATGTCCACTCCTGGTTGATCCACAATTTCTTAACAGTAATAAAACATTCTGTAAGCAAACACGCCAAAGACCAATGAGCAGCCAAACAGACCAGAACATATTTAAAGACATGGCACCAACCAAACTCCTTCATGCTCTCTTGGTCCGTTTCATCCAAGAAGAAATAGCCCTGTTTCACAGCACGATGTACTTCAAAACACAGGCCCAAACAGGCATCTTCCACCAGCTCAGAGTAGATGTCATGGACCAAGGCCTACAACATGAAATACATAATTTAATACCAATACATACCTCATCCTAGATTTTAAAAATCTGCAGTTTTGAAGACAGAAAAATGTCAAATTTCACACAATGCCTCACCTCCAGCTTGGTGTTGTCTGGGCCTGACAGGGGCATATCCTCCATTTTCATTTGAAAATCTGTATTGGAAATCTTGATAGCAAGGTAATAAGATGCTGACCTGTGGATTTAGATAACAGAAAACAAAATTGAAGCCCCAATATGGTCAGTGGTTCAACAAGTTAACAGATTTCAAACTGGCAAATCCAATCTGTCAAGGATCCAGTTGATGAGTTAAACTGATTGCAAAATACATACTTTTAAAATAGCTATCAATACTTGCAGATCTGTCTTCATTCTGTTGGAGAGGAAAATATGTGTCAGATATTGGACATTAATCTATTTCAATTAAAGAATGAAACTAACAATTATTTTCACTATTGATGAATCTACAAATTATTTCTTGATTAGTCGATTAATTGCTTGGTATGTGAAATGGAAGCAAAGATCCTAGAGCTCACTGTAACACCCTAAAATGTCTTGTTTTGTCCAGGCAATAGTTCAAAAGTCAAATATATTCACTTTACTAAAACAGTAAAGTAAGAAAACAGGGATGTGTTCCAACTGGAGTCAGAGAATTCGATTTGGGGATATCTTCCTCCAAACGATCGATCAATCATCAAAATTGTTGCAGATAAATTTCCAACTAAACACTGCAGGAAACATCCACCCTGTAGGAACCGGACTCTTAACTGTCGAATAACACCACAGCTAAATGCGTCAGGTGTGATAATTGAGATAAGATGTGTCTTTATTTACACTATATACACAGCAAGAAAAGCTACATTTTAAACAAAAATCTAGCTAACGTTAATGGAAAAAAAACGACAATATAAATACAGCTAGCGTCAATATCAGTTTGTTAGCAAACTCAACACTCTTTAACGTTGAATGTTACTTTTTATTTTTAGCATTTCCTAGCTAGTCCTGATACTCTACTACTTTGAAATGACGGAAAAGCTTTTGAGGCGAAATACTCAGGTACAATGTAGTTAAGACAGTGATGTTAGATTTTAATTTCACCCAAAAACAGTTTCCTCTTACCCTGTCATACCGAAAAGTCAGCCTGAACCAGGCAGTTTCTCTGATGGAGGCAACATCACCAAGTCAGTCCAAATAAAATACGTTAACACGAAGCCTGGTCTTCAGCTATATCCATCTTTATATCGTAGGTAAAACAAAATCCTCGTTAAAATGATTGTTGTTGCAGCTGTCGGTTAAATTAACGTTAGAAATCCGCTTGACAACGAGGAGGCCAACAGAGCAGCCAGAACCAAACACCGAAATAAAACTAACTTCCGGCTTCAACTTTAAAAATAAAAGCCTTTAATGTTAAGCGATTTAGTAGTCCAGTGGCGGAAGTACTCAGATTTTGTACTTGAATAAAAATACAAATACCACACTGTGAAATCGCTCCATTTCAAGTAAAAGACCTGTATTCAAAATATTACTTTAGTGAAAGTATGTCTGAGGGTAATCAGAAAATGTACGGTATTAAATGTAAAAGTACTGACTGCAGAAAAAAATGACTGTGATTAGATTGTTGGATATTATTACTCATGCATTCATTTGTTGGCAGCATTTTACTGTTGCAATTGGTTGAGATGGATCTTATTTTTAGGGCTGCAATTAATGATTATTTTAATTATTGGATCCATATCCTTTTTTTCTTGAGGTTAGGGTTTGGTTTGTAAAAAATCTGAAAATGGTGTGAAAAAATGATGATGTCTTTTGGGAAATAATTCCTTCAATAATTTTAATAATAGTATCAAATTAATTAAGTGACTAATTGCATCATATTCTCTTAGGCTCTTCATATATTTTTTGAGTAAAATCCTGATTTGTAAAGTAACTAAAGCAGCTAGATAAATGTAGTTGAGTAAAAAGTACAATATTTCCCTAGGCCTAGGCCTACTTGAATAAATGTACTTAGTTACAGTACATACCACCTAAAGAAGTATTCAAATCACTTACTTAAGTAAAAGTAGCACTACCACACTATAAAAATACTCAATTGAAGTCCTGCGTTCAAAATCTTGCTAATGCAAAAGTAATAGCAACTAAAAATAATTAAAGTATTGACAATAAAACTAATAATGATGCAAAATGGCTCCTGTCAGCAATATATTATTGGATTCTTGGATAATTCATTATTTTCATATTTATGCATATTACTGTTAAATCATATTGAGACTTTGTCAGTTATCACTCAGGCCTTGTTCCCTCTATATTTAGCCATTCTTTTCCAATAAAACATGTGGTTTCTAGGCAACTTGTGTGACGCAGCTTAGGCCCTGTTGATAATTTTATTTTGAAGGCACAGTTAGCATGCTTCCGCTATGACTGGCAGACTTGAGGCAGGCCGGGAGGCTTACCTTCCACTTCCGACCCCGATACATGAACGCTAGATCTTCACTCTAATTTGAATCAGTTTGTTGAGCCTGAGGTCACCACTACCTATCATATACACTCTATGGCCAAAAGTATGTGGATACAGCTACACCCACACGTGACTGTTGAACATGTCATACCTAAGCCATGGGCACTAATCAGCTGCTATAACAGCCTCAATTCACTGGTTTCAGGCTTCCATCAGATTTTGGAACTTGTCTGCAGGGATTTGATCATGTCCAGCCACAAGAGCATTAGTCAAACTCAATGCTGATGTTAGGTGATAGGCCTGGCTCACAGCCAGTGCTCCAGGTCCTAAAGGTGTTGGATGGGGTTGAGGTCATTGCTCTGTGGAGGTCAGTCAAGGTCCTCGACAACATACTGGGAAAACCATTTCTGTATGGACCTGGCTTTGTGCACCGGGGCATCATCATGTTGAAACAGGACTGCGAACTGCACACATTGCACAGAGTGTAAGGAGGGTTAATAGGGGCCCAGTAGCTTATTTCTGGCCTCCTGACAGGTTAATGTGGCCATGCAAATGTATGCCTAGAAATTGGAAGCACACTAGGACTGCAATTAATTATTTTCATAGTGGATTCATTTGCTGATTGTTTTCTCAATTCAATTGTTCAACATTTTGGACTATTAAATATCCAAAAAGAATGAAAAAACTCTAAAAACTCGATTTGTTTATTTCTATAAACGTTGACCAATTCAAATCATTGTTGTGTCTGACTAACTGTCCAAAACCAAAAGCTAATTTAGGTCATCTTTACTTGATAAATGACTTAGATGATTAATCAGTTGTCAAAATTGTTTCCCATTCATTTTCTACTAATTGACAGAGGTGATTAGTCAACCAGTGAGAAACAGTCCCACGCATAATCTGAACCAGTAGGGGTTTGCACATACGTTTGGTCACAAAGTTTTTTTTCCCTGCACATCAGCACTGATTCACGGTCTGTCTGTCTGTCTGTATAAGGTTAAAGTAGAACACACACTTCTAACTGTTAAAGATCATTTTTATTTGCCCAAATACTTGAACTACAAGGACATAAGAACACCCTCAACTATAGAAAACATCAAATTTTCTCAAATGATCAGCAGTACAAACTTGTAAAGCTTTGCTGTCTTAGATATCTCTATAAACCAACATAAGGGAGAGAACAACAACTAAAACAGGTGAATTGAACCAAAAATTCTCCCCCGTGAGTGAAAGGCTCACTGGCCTCAGAAGTCACAAATGAGGGTTTGCCAAATTAAAAGTACTAACAAAACAATAAGCACTCATTACAAAAAACAGTATTTACAAAAAAATTACAAGTTTTTTTTTTTTTTTTTTTTTAACCCATATTCCACTGGCAACTCAGTTCCCCAAATCCCTTTTACAAACTCCCATCAATCAATTTCGACAAACACTTTCCTTTTCCCTCCCAAAGTTATTTAAATAGTCCACGCTGGTTTTATTTTAGTTTGTGATGAGATTCATAATGGTCAAAATCAGTCCATTACTGACGGATTATTAATAGTTGCCATGTACTCATCTGTCTGCAGACCCAAAATGACAGTCATGGAATTCCGTTTTCAGGTAACAAATGACATGACGGCGCCAAGCAAAAGAATTACTAAAGACCTTTGGAGAGGAAAAGAAATTAACAATTTAACAATATCTACATTCATGGTGTTGGTATGATGTCCCCACACAGGCATACATGCACGCTGCAGTCACATCATGGTACGCAACAAAACAGCAAAAATAGCACACATTAAAGCAAAGAAACACACATACACCCTCATATATACATAGTTCTGTGCATGCATGCACACAAACTCACACAGAGGGACAGATTTACATTAAGTGCACACTTTTTTGGGATAAGCATCAGACTAAAACCCAGACGGATTACAGTCCATACCATTAAAATTTCAAAAGAAAAATAGATGAAACCATACAGTTCAACATCCACAAATGATTCCAGATGGGTCAGAACGCAACTCCTCACAATTAAAACAAAAAAACCTATGAACAAGTCAAATAAACCGTAAATGAAATGTAAAACAACGGTTTAGAGAAGGAATATACACCAACTGTATGAGATACTCTTCAAAAACAGTCAGATTGAGCTCTAAATGTAGAAAAAAAGTGATCCCTTCAATGACAAATTGCAAGCACTACACAGTTTGTCACTGTCAGACCAGAACAAACTGAGTCAAACGATTGTTTCAGACTTCTGAATTTATGCACTACAAGACATGTTTGTAAATTTTGATAAATGACAACTCTCAATGACAGACACATGGCAATGGATCCACAGTGCCTATATAATATATGTAATCCACCAACATTTGACCTTTTTGTTTTTCAACACTGAAGCACAGTGGATGTAAGTTTTGTTTTTTTACACTAATGATAAGTGAAAATCTTTTAAAATTAACCTGTATTAAGTGTTAAAATAAAATGCAAATAACCAATTACATAGGTATTGAAAGGTTGAGCCAATTGTTTAATAAGACAAAAGTTGTGTGGAGATCACTTGTGTCACGTGTAACCAGTAGACAAACCTCCATCTGGTAGCTCCAACAGCTTATTAGTTAATTTTCTAATAAAAACTACACTGTGATATGAAGGGACGTTCCAAATAAACTACAACAAGTTTACTTAAAGGTTAATTCAGGGGAAAGACACAAGAAATATTTCAAGGGACGGAATAGCCTGCAGACTATAATACGGTCAATTGCTTTTAAGAAAGAAACAGCACCGCTGTAAATCTGCTTAGAGTAGGCCGTTTTGGTGCAAGAAGTGCAGCCAGACTTAAATCCACTAGAGATTGTGTGGAAGGAAATGGAAATTGGTGTTTACTCACAGTCGCTAAACACAACATTGGGCCGTTTTGGAAAAAGAAACGGGGAAAATGCAGCATCTATGTATAGAAAGCTGATCCACACAGAGTGCAGTCTGTAACTGCTGCAAAAGCTGCTTATAACTAAATACTAAAGAGGGTGAATACATATGTAATCAGTTGTCTTGTATTTGGCCTTAATCTAGATACTTTAGCTCGTTGCTATTTTACAGCGAGTTAAAACAGGATCAATGCCAGTTTCTGTTCTGCGTGTTCTAATCTGCTGTACTTCTGACTACACCCTACATCACAGCAAATAAGTCAATTTCTAATAAATGTTTCAGTCTTTCTTTCGATGAATAGTGTCAAAAAGCTTCATTACATCCACTTTGGTTCAACATTGTAAAACAATAAAACATGAAAAGTCAAAAGGGGGGTGAACATTTTATAGGCACTGTCTTTTTTAAATGAAAACACAGGTAAGAAACAAGTTCTGAAATTTTCCAGCAACAAAAAAAAAAGACATTCATAATGGCTTGTTTTTTTTCCTGAAAAAATACCACCTCTTTAAGAACCAAATGATAAAATCTACATCATAACATGAGAATAGAGAACAAAGCGACAAAATTCTGGAAAAAAATATTAAATGAAACATTCTGAAGAGTGCAATTTTTCAGTGCCCCGCACATCCCCCCTTCCCTAAAGTGATCCCCATAACATGTTCTTTGGCTCCATGAAGCCTGTTCACAACTCATGCCACCTATCTCCAGCTAATTATCAGAATAATAGAAGAAACACTGGAGGGTAATTCATTACCCTGGACATTAAAACTCTAACCTTAAACCACTGAACCTGCAAATCAAGATTGAAACCAGCGGCAGAAATGTTCATGACATCACCAAACCAGTGGGATGCTGTTTTTGGCATAATGTCAGCGGCCCGTGCTGTGAGATGACCATCACAGCGGGGAGGGAATGAAACAGATTTTGGACATAAGGACAGTGTCCCTCCATGAGTACAGATCACCAACGCAGCAACATAAAGTGGGTGAGTGTGAAATGGATGAGGCAATGCAGGGGCTCCCTCTGGTGGTGGGAGGAGAGCAGGGTTGGCACAGTGGCAGAGCTCCCTGGACTCTTGGCTCAGCTCAGCGCTGCTCAGTTCGTCTCAGGACGATGTCGACCTGATCCATCAGTCCGAATCAGAGTCTGATGTCCCTGGTGAATTCGATTCGCTGCTGCTGTCCTCTGACTTGTTCTCCTTGTCCTCCGCCTCGTCATCATCTTCATCGTCATCTTCCTCCTTCTTCAAAATCGAACAAAAAATAATATTCAGCACAATCAATGTCAGGTCATTACTTCTGTACGTGGCCACTGACAAATGTCACTTACGTCTTCATCGTCGTCATCATCCTCTTCATCGTCTTCATCATCCTCGCTGGATGAGTCTGCGTCAGAGGAAGCCTTTTCCTGCTCATCGTCGTCATCATCTTCGTCCTCATCGTCCTCTTCCTCGGTGTCCTGTGGACACAGACATTTAACCACATGAAATTGAAATTTGCAGCTGATTTTTGAGTCTAATGACAGAAAACAGAACAATGAGTCGGCACTCACAGATTTCTTGACCTTCGCCTTGGGGCCTCCTGGTTTTGCAGTTGTTCTCCTTTTCTGAAACGTCCAAAGAGATAAACATTCATTTAAATACATCAAAAAAAGATACAAGAAGTGGAAATATTATAGAGGTACTGTGCTGTAAATTTCTGTGACACAACAATGTTAACCATGACAGTAAAATAACTGACTTACTTGTGAATTATATTCTTTGTAAGTGTTTCTCTCTTGTGAAGACAAGCTCTGTGGAAGGATGGAAGTGTATGATAAGAAAGATAAAAAAAAATTAGACATTTCTACATTTTCAGTAGAAAATTCATGGCTTATTTCCCCCCCCAAACAATCAATCCTTACGGCGAGCCACTGTTCCAGTTGGACTTTATACTGCCTCTGCTTTTCCTCAGCGATCTTCTTGTAGCGGTCCTTGTCCTTCAGCGGTAATCTCTGCCAGCGGCTGCCAATCTCAGCCATCCGCTCTTTCATCGGTAGGTGATTCAGCTCTCCATTGGACAGCATCTCCTGAGAGAACTTCTGATAACCGTTTCTAGAGTCAAAAGCAAGGGGAAAAAAAACACAAAATTTTATGATTTCAATACTGTACAAACAACAGGCAGCATGGACAAGTTGGATGTGGAAAACTTACGATGGTGGTTTCTTGGGTTCACCCTCAAACTTCATCTTCTTCCCTGAGGCAATGGCAGCAACAGGTGAGCGCATCTCACACAGGTCTCTCTGTTGAGGACAGAAAAGCCAATGGTTAACTCTCACTGGTACTGTATACAGATGTTAGGGACTCCTGCTGGACATTGACAGTGATACCTCATATCTTTTCTGATCCTCTGCTGCCTTTTTGATCCACATGATCTTCTCTTTTTTCTCCATGGTGCTCCAGGTTGCTTCCATTGCTTTCTGTGCCTTCGGTCGATCGTTCTGCAAAACAAGGGGTTCACATTAAATGTAATAAAAATTAGTATAACAAATTCTACTGTTAATACTGTCACCTAAAGAGACTGTTTTATATTATATAAAAATATATACAATGCATACATAACTTTTATTTTAGATTTTCGATTATAAACTAGTGTCACAGACAGAACAATGACACCTGTTGGTAAAAAGGTAAATACTGTAAACACAGTAAATTAATTCATGCATGGATATCAGTGATCTGCTTAGTGTCTATCCAAAATACACACTTTAAGCATCGCATGTTGAACCAGTGTTTCAGCTGTAACAGGGCAAAACAAAGTTGCCAGTTTCATTCTAGAAACCAAGGGTCATGTGTACCTTGAATCTGGCCAGATAATCTCCAATGACACTCTGCTGCCAGATGTCCTGAGCAGTCTTGGGTGGGTCTGGCAGACGACTACGATCTTCCTTCTCCTTCTTCTCTGACTCTGCCTTCAGGACCGTTTCTAAGCGTTTATACTTCTCCTAAATGACCAAGACCATTAAAAGGTATATTAGAAAATTATATTTCAAACTGTTCTTATCAACATGATTTGGCTCCTTTGATCACTCAACTGACCTTCTTCTTATCTGGCAGTTCATTCCACATGCGCGCCAGCAGTCTCGTGAGTTCACTGTCAGAAAGGTCTGGTCGCTCCTGCTGCAGTTTGGGACGTTTTTCCTCAGAGAATATGAACATGGCTGAAATGGGCCTTTTGGGTTTCTCTGGATTGGCCTACAGATTTCAAAGCAAAAACAATTTCAGAAAAGGATACTATAACATCTACATCTACATTACATTATTACACAATATGCACAAATTATCTTTAGCTTTTTATGTTTAAGTGACAAAACAAAAAAGTCTGTATCGGAGCAAATGTGAAGAGTGTAACCACCTCTACAAACTGGGTGGGTGTTGCTGTATACTCAGTCTTACTTTTGCTTTAGGGTTTTTCTTTTTGGCGGCAGGACTGCTGGCTCCACTGCCCCTCTTAAAACCTATCTTATCCTCGCCCAAGACCCGCTGCTGCTCCTCCACTGACAAACTCTACAAAGAAAATATAAATAAGAAACTCTGATGAACTCTTACAGCAAAAACTATAGCACACAAATAGAAACAGTCATTGCTTTGATGTGAAAACTCTAAGCACGGCAAAAACACCAGTCAAAAGAGAAATAAAAAATAAGACTTACACTGAGAAATCTGTTCATCTCAATTTCATACTCCTTCTTTCTCTGAAAAAACATTAGATTAAATTATTAAGACTAAGTCGAACAACTTGCTTTTCTTATATAATGTGACTTGATTCTGAACTAACCTGTTCACAGCGTTTCTGATAGCCGTCCTTCTCGCCCTGTTTCAGCAACTTCCACCGCTGGCTACACATCACCATACGCTCTGTGCTGGGTACGTCCTTCATGCTGGACATCAACTCCGCGCAGAACATAGAATAACCATTTCTGAAAGCATATATACACAGAAAGATTTGTCTAAACAACTCTCACATGGTGGCGTCATGTGTCAAGCATTGTATTTTAGCTCTTAACTCACGGCGGTGGTTTGTCAGGTCGGCCGTCAGATTTGTCCTTCAGGTGCCTCTCGGCCTTGGTCAGGGTGGATTTTGATATAGCCCCTTGGTTCATGTTTAACTCTGGGTGCTGCTGGATGTACTCTCGCATCGTCTCCTAGAATATTAAAAAGAACACAAAGAGTTAAAAACAGTGAAAATGCTTCTAAAGACTCCAAATTTTGTAAGACGCTGATGTAACATATCACCATCATTTTAGTCTCACCTCATACTGTTTCTGCTGCTCCAAGGACTTTGTGATCCATTTGAGTCTTTTTTTGTCGGACAACTGTGTCCACTGTTTGCCAAGACTGTCCTTTATGTCTTTGGTGGTCGCCTGTTGTCAAACAGAGAAAATTAACAACTGTAGGGCCACACAATTAAAGGTTAAGAGGTTGTATTTTGTATGTTGTAAAGGCCTACTTACATCTGGGTGTGTTTTGAGGAAGGCCTTCTTTTCATGGTTGTACCACAGCTGTTGGGGTGTCTTGGGCTTCTCTGGGACATTTGAACCTTTCTTGGTCATGCTCTCCACAAGGTCTGGGTGTTCTTCCCTACATTTATAGATCATAAATCAGCATTTAAGCACAGATATCATTCTTAAATATGCTGCAGGTACACGCCTAATATGTAAGTAATCTCACCTGAACTTCATCATACTTTGCACAAATGATTCCTTGTCTCGTAAGAAGTCATCAACATATTTTTTCTGTAGAAAAGAAAAACAATGTTTTAGTTATATGTTTTGAAACTATCAAATAATACCACAGTCAACATTAAAAGCTGTAGCATTTGTTTTTGACGGACCTTCTTTTTGTCAGGCAACTCCCTGTATTTCTTTGAGAGGATTTTAGTCAGATCTAGGTTGCTCATCTCAGGGTGCAACTTTGCGTATTTGGCCCTCTTTTCCATGAAGAAGCGAAAGTATGGAGTCAAGGGCTTCTTGGGAAAATCTGGATGTTTCTGTATATCATGGAGAAAAATACTGGCGTGAAAATTGTATTCATAATGTGATAGTTGTTTGCTAGTCAAGCAAAATGTATGTTTTAAGTCACCTTTATTTTCTTGCCCTTGTAAGGGTTCTTGATATAGTCTTGAGCATCAACTATCAGTTCGGTTAGAGTCCTGAACTTTCGAATCTGTGGTTAAAGCAGAAAAATAAAACATATTAACTAAATGAAGCACTAAATTTGACATTTAGCAGACAATAAATAAGTGTCATACTAACAACATGAGCTGGCTCACCTCTTTAGAGACTTCCTGCCACTTCTGCTTACACATCTCTGCTGTGTAGGAATTGAATGCCACCTTCTGCCAGTCAAGGTGGGACTCTGATGTTTTGTATTTAGTCAGGTCTTTCTGAGGCAGGGCTACTTTCATGGCCTCCAGCAATTTTAAGAGGTCATCCTGTGCCCAAACTGTTGTGATGCAAACACAACAGAATTTACTCAAAAATAATAATAGATGAAATGATGAAAACTTACAACAGTCTGCTCTGCTACAACACTAGCTATAGTAAACATTAATACGTCAACAGTATAGTTCAGTTTAGGGCTGCAACTATTGATTAGATTGATTACTGATTATTCTCTTGATTAATTGTTTGATCTATAAGATTTATGAAAATAGAAACAAATGATCAAATTTTCCTAAAGGTGCCATCTTCAAAATGTATATTTTGTCTAATTAACAGAACAAACCCTTTCAATATTCAATTTTTGATCACATAAGACAAAAATGCAACAAAACCTCCCAAGTGAGAAGCTGGAACTGGATATTTTTGCTTGAAAAATGACTTAAATAATTAATCAATTTTTAAAATACCTGCCAAGAAAAAGTTAGCCAGTTAACTAATTGATTAATTATTTCAGAAAAATAATCAAATATTTATTTCAATATACCTTGGTCTTGGGTGGTTGCCTCCATTTCTCCATTCATTTGTGGTTGTACTATCTTTTATCTACAAGAGCAACAAAAATCAAGTCGTCAAACATAATCTCTCACAATAACATGATCTTTAATATAGAAACACAATACAATCTTTAATATGCGAGTTCAAACTAAGCTTCTACATCAGAATAGACCATGTTTTTAAATTACAGGATTTTATAATAATGTTTTTTTTTTTTTAATCTGTTTAATATTCATATGATAAGCTTTGATTTCCTTAAAAAAGTGTTTGTGATGTAAAAGTAAAACCGGTGTTTTCAAGTGGCGGATTTCAAATTTGCCTCTAGATAATGGTTTATGTTCATTACACCGCCCCTTAAACGTTTACGCTACATGGTGAGACATAGGCTATTGCTTGTGACGGCTTCAAATCTCAAATAACACTGCGGAGGGCTTCAACTAGCACAACTAGCTACGACAACAGGAGTCTCCGTCGAGCAAATTTTGCCAGCCGGAATTTGGCGTATTAGTACTGTCCTAATTCCACAACAAAAGTATCGTGGACGCACAAGAGCGACCATTTTCTCGCCCGGTCCGCTCGGTAATGGAGGATTTTCTGTCGGAGTGGAGGTTGGGGAGGATCCACGGAAGGAGGAAGCGAATGGACGTGGACGGACAGGCAGCTGTAGGCGACCAGCTGACCACGGACGGGGGATCTGCTTTCGGTCTCCGACGAAGGGGAATGGTGGCTTGGAAGCACTGCAGCCAAATGCGCCACTCGGTAGAGGCGCCTCATCACCGTTGGATGCGGATCTAGCTCCGCCATGCAAACCTATAATCTTCTCTTCCAATGTTCACTACGGCTGGAGCGAGGAAATCAGTATAATATTAGCTTTCAGTTAATAAATGTGCTTCAAGAGTATTTACAGGCCATTTCATTTATGTTTTTGGCGTTTAATGTTGCGATTTTAGAGCAAAACTTGGTGCATTCTTCAGCGAGGCGTAGCCGAGCTGTGCTCCAATGATGGCGGCTGCTCGTTGTTCATCGTGTCCTTGATGGCCCCAGCTCACTGTGGTGTTCACGGTGTGACCTAGCTACATGAGAACTACCGATTTCACCTTTATATAACTAGGGAGCTGATATTACGTACATTTAGAGCCATTAGAACATAAAATATGTTAAATTTCATTATAATTATAACATATGGAGTATAAAAATTGGGAGCTGAGGCATTACATGGCCAAGGACAACTTGGCACGCCAAATGAAGCTTAAATTGGGCATTTATCCTATAAATTTATAGCCATACATTTTTAAAATGTCAGTGTTTAATATAAAACTTTAAGCTTGTTTGTATTTAATAACAATCTCCTACTTCCTATAGGGTAGATCCGGACCACTTAAACGTGACAAATCATTTAAAACAGTTGTTCAACAGCTCAAATTTTAGCTAGCCTTAAACATGGTTAAATTTATTAAAGACTTAGCCGAGTTTTGGAAAAACTAATTTTAACAATTCGTTACAATGTCCGAGATAAATCTCGTGGTGGTGGGTTGGAAGGAGTTGCGGAGGCACAGGAAGAAAGAAGAAAATGGAAAATGTTTTTAACGGCCAAACGTTACAACCTCGACATTTACTAAAGAATTCATTTTAACGGTAGCTGCGACCGGTATCTGTTACACTATTGCGCGGTTAAACGGTCCCTTAAATTATTAGTCTAAGCTTTAAGGAAACATGTTAACATCCGAGGCTGAGCAGCTTCACTGGCGCGACAAACAGCTCCAGGTCCGCCATGCTTCAGCTCTGCTCTACAAGGAAACCTACCGTGACAAGGTCCAATGGCGCACTGCAAACAGAGAAAACCGAGCTTAAAACTAAGTCCAGGGCGTTGCAGACTCCCTTCCCTCGATCCAAAAGCACATAAGCGAGGACAAGAAGGCGGGTTCTCCGAGCTCGGTCGTCGGTGGTTCTGGGCTAGTCAGTGAGAGAGAGAGGGGGAGAGAGAGGGCGAGTCTCTGCACGGTGAGATATTAAACCGAGATCCCTGATGGCTAACCGAGAGAGGCGGCTGGCTGTTCCGCCAACAGCCGCGTGGAGGTCTCGGCGCGGAAACCACCGCTAATTCCCCCACGCAAATGACCCGGTTACAGCACGAATAGCCGAGTTTCGATGAAGGGAAGTAGCATAACAAACTCGCTGGGTGAAATTTTATGAAAATATCCCCTTTACCTACGGGTCTTTTCCAGTTTCTTCCCCGCTGTAGAGGACAAGAAAATCGGGTATGGCCGACCTCGTCTGTACCCTGCCACAGCGGTTGGTTTGCTTCGCTACTACAAAGAGCCTACCGACCGAGACGGTTTATATATTTAAAAAAAACATACAATAAAGGTGTATTTTGTGGGTTCCAATAGCTTATTCAGGTTTATTTATCGCGTATTTTCGCCGTGTTATGAAACCGAGCGGCTGTTGTGTTGGCTTACCTGTCTCTCGGCGTGAGCCTCGGCGTCGTTGTGGAGGAAGAAGGGGAGGGTTGAACGATAGCCAGCACTGCGCCGTCGGTCCTGGGCTCCAGTCCCCGCAGAGATGGTCCTTCCCCCCCGCCTCCATCTCTCTCGCCGTCTCCCTCCACTCAACGCGCAGCAGCTCCTCTCCATCCAACCATTCGCGATGCCGAGACATCCACATTTTTTTTCCGATCTCGCACCGTTATTTCTGAACCCAACCGCGGGCGATTATTTTTTACTCCCGGAGGCCACCCTTTCTGATCTCCAGCCGAAGTTTGTAATATTTTCTCAGGTCGCTGAAAGTTTCATGAAAGCCAAAGCAGTGTCAATGGTTGTCTAATTTAATGCAACCGGCTAATCTCACATACTCCCTTAACTTAATGTAATTCACATAAAAAATATATATTTTTGAAGTTTATAATCTTCATGCATCAGTGTCAGATTTCAACTCAAGAGATAATTATCTAATACGTCCACATGGCAGTCTTCTCGTCTTTTCACATTGCCCATTTCTCTTTTACCAAACTGTAAGCGGCTGTTTGACAGCTTCATTTTGGCCCAGCATGTTTTTTCTTTTCAACTCCACCTTGTGTGTTTGTGGGCGGGACCCCCGGCCGTCCAATCCAGTCAGGCCGATTCAGGGAAAACAAATGACTTTCAGGCACTCGGCCTTGTTAAACTGTGTTGCCTTCCCTGGCTGTGGGAAAACTGGTTTGTTCGCACAAAAGTAAACAGACATGGAAACTTTTAGAATTTGTAGCCTCTATGCATGGACACAGAATTAAATGAAAATACAAGACGATATAAATAATCTTACGAATAAATAAACAATATACAACTAAGCCATGTGACTGAATTTCTATACATGTATGAAAACTCAGCTTATAATTATGAAATGTTATTTTATCCACCCTATTTTCAAAATACCAGTTTACTGCAGGCTGTTTTTATTTTGTTAGGTTTTAATTTAAAGAAAATCCCTTTTTATTTCATAATGTAATTTTTCCAAGTAAATGCTCACATTATTAGCTTAGTCATTTTTGTCTTGATTGACAGTGACAGACTTTTTGATGAAAAGTGGCATTAGTGACTACAATAATATTACATTATATTAAGAAATAAAACCTGCTGGAATTGAATAAGAAACACCTTATTATGGAAGCAAACTGGATGAAATAACAATAATGAACTGAGTTTAAGACATGGATTATTTCACAATTTCATGGTTGCACTAATTTGTCTGTTGTTATTAATATATGGGTATTTATTTTATAATATATATTTGTATTATATAACCTCAGTTGGATTTTTGATGCTTAATCTTTACTTTATCCCTGTGATTTGAATAAAGTAATTACAAAATGTATATGTCTGAGTGAATTTTGCCACCTGTATCTGGAAAAAGCCCCATTCTGTTAAGTTTTGTCCTCTTGCAGTACAGTAAAATTTCTCATTCTAGACTAAGAGTAGTTAAGAGTATGTCCATGATGTAAGAGAATTGAGTGTAGGACTTTACTAAATGACATTGAAAGCAGCATGCAGCTAAGTGGCAGGCATCATGGTCCAACTGAACAGCTTTCCTGTTGCTTGAAGTTGGCTGGAGGTGATATGAAGCTATGATGTTTTCTATTGCACTCATGAAAACAAGCACTTTATAGGCTGTTTTTTATTTTTAATAAAGTGTAAATCCAAAGCATGTACAGTGTTTCAAGCACACAAACACACGATAACTAAAACAAAAGGCTTAATAAGATACATTTACAAATAAGTTTTCCCCTGATTATATCATCAGTGCAACAGTCAGCTCAAACAATTATATCTCATTATCTGCTATCCACTCATTGCTGCTCATCCCAGTTCATAATCATCAAAGCGATTACACACTTAAAATCTCAAATTGAAGAGCATTACACATCTTTCCATACACTTTCAAATCAGGTCGACTGAACAGGAAAGACCAAATTGTTCAATAAACCATACACAATACATGAAATGAGGCAAACTTGAGTAACACTACTTAAAACATTTTTGATAAAGTTTAGTTGAAAGGCTACTGTATGGAGCAAAGGCAGGGCTGATAGTCCAACAAAAAGTCATTATTTGTGCATGTGTAAAGAGTAGATCAACTTTGCTTAACTTAAATAGTGAACATGGGTAGATCTACATATGGCAGCAGTGGTAATCACTTTAAAGCTATACTGTAGTTAGGCATTTAAAGAAAAAAACAATATTATAAGTGGATTTATCTCAGGTCTTAAAGTTAAAGATCCCTCATTTCCAGAAGATATTTTCCTGAATCAGAATACCACTTAGTATTTAAGAAAGTAAAATTACATATACCTTACCTGAAAACAAAAGGGAAGCATTTTAATGATCCCAAAATGAATGCCACATAAACAAGTGAAATATGAAAAGGAAATACGGAAAACAAAAGAACAAAGGACAAGTAGAAATGCATCTTTATGACAATATGGACTGTATATTAGTTTTCTATTGTGGCGACAGACAAAATTTCAGTTGCAGGAATAATGTATGAATTACTAGAAATGAGAGGTAATTTCCTTTAAAGATAAATAATAATAACAGAACAGTTTGAAACTGCAAAGAGTTGTTTATAAATACATATTTTCAAAGACACCTGATATTCAGTTTTCACATAATTACTGGCATTCGAGAACTGAGTTGACTTAAAAGTTTGTGAACTAACTAAATATGAATTGTATGTTGTTGTTTATGGCAGTGGGGACTCATTATACACATCCTCCCCGGGTTCCTCCTCAAATGTCACTTTGGCATCATCTGCATCCAGCTGCAACACAAACACATCCAGTTACAACACAGACACCTAGGGTGAATACAACACATACAGAGAAGTACTTACACATTTCATCTCCATGACAGAGAAGAGCCTGCCGGTCATGAGCATACGCAGAGGGATGGTGAGAATAAGAACAAAAGGCAGAGCCAGAGAGAAGGAACTTATCTTCACCATCCACAGGACGGCCAGACACAAAAGCTGGATCAGAGTGAAGAGATGCATCCGCAGTGTCTTAACCTGCACAAACCAGGCAGAGGAGGGTGTTAGCAGAGGAACTAAAGACTAACATGAAAATGCACAAAATCTAATGTATATGATCATTTACAGGAATATTGTCGTTGGCTAATGTACACTGAAATATGAGGGAAAACAATTATTGAATTGAATTATTGGACAGGCCCACTGGGGACAGAGACAGGAGACATAAAGAGATGCAAAGCAACTACAAAGATGGGCAAAATCATCACAAAGACATGTAAAATGATCACATCAATCAACCACTGAGACACGAAAGAATCACAGATATCTGAAACAACTGCAAAATGACCACAAAGAGCTGCAAAATGTCCACAGGGAGACACAAAATAACCACCGAAAGATGCAATATGACCACAAAGAGAATAAAAACGAACACACACACAGTCTCTTTGAGTTTAGGTGTCTTGTTCCTATAAAGGAAGGGATGGGGGCGAGGCTTTCACATGTCTGTGCCTAGGGGTGGTTTGTGTCATAATCTGTGCGTGGTCTTGTGTTCTTTGTCCAGTGAGACTGCCACAGACAAAATATTAAAGACATGCTGCAAATCAGCACAATGCCGCCACAGACTATAGCCTCCAAAATAAAAGTACTGAATCAAGCACTGGCAACAAAAACAGAAAACAATAAATTTAAGGATTTTTTTTTTTTAGGGCTTTTTAGGACTGTTGTAGTTAATGTATTTTTTTTGGTTATTTAGTCTATATGACAGCAATGTACTGTATTAATACTTGCAAAAAACTGAAACTGGCACTCTATTTCCAAAATGACATGATATCTCTAGACATTAGGGTGTACCACATGAAAACATATTAATGATCAGAGTCAAGTAGTAAACTGTGCTTGAGGAAGTTTCATACCCTGGTAGCGTAGGCATCAGAGGGATGATATTTCTTTGGTGTGATCAGCAGAAGCATCCTGTCCCACATCTGGATTCCACTCAGAGACGTGATACCCATGTAGAGGAATATGCCGAACAAGGCTGTCATGGGAATCATCTTCAGTATAGGTTCCATGTAAATAGAAACACCTAGAAATCACAGAAGGAGAATGATGGTTAAAGGAGAAAGGTTGTTTATCCTGACCCTGCTGTTTTTGTGTCAGCACTGTAGAGGGCAGCCCTTACCAACCAGGATGGCCACAAGAATGCCACTGATCCTCTGCTCAACAACCTTCTCAATCTCTGGTTTCGGGCCCTTGGACATGACAGTGAGAGCGTTGGCGTGGGTGACGGATCGCACAGTGGCAGCGCTCAGCCAGGGCACCCCGAAAATAGAGGAGATGCCTCCCATGGTGACCAGGATGAGCAGATCAAAATGGAAACCAGATCCTTTCACCATCTTCCTCTCAGGTTTGCTCACAATCAGGCTAATAATCCATTGAAAGAAACAAAAAAAATCTTCAAAATATTATCTTGGTTTTGATTAGCTAATTAGTTTTACGTGAAGTCTGTTGTCATGGCATCATTTATAGTGTCACTCACGTAGTAATCTGGGACTCGAGGAAGATGAGGATGAAGACAAGCAGTGCAGGTACACAGCAGGCACCCATCATCCAGATTGGGAAGGGCTTACTCTCTCCCATCGGGTTGATGAACCAGCCTCTGGCTTTGGGGTTGGTCACTTCAACACCTTTTGGCACAACCAGTTTCTACAAGCAGACAGGATGATATTCATTCAGAAAGATGCAAGTCAAGGCCTTTAGTAAATACTTCTTGTAATTTTGTATTGATTTGATTTGGATTTCTGAGCATTGAGGAACAGGGAAATCAGAGAGGATGGTAACCAGGGACATATCATAGACAGGATAAAGGAGTGTAGACTTGATTTATCTTCCTTTTTAACATCTCAGTATACACCATGGTAATTACTAACACATGCATATAGGTCATATAGTTCTGTGTGACAACCACCAGATGAAGGTCATAGTTTACCAACCAATGTGTCACCCAAAGTATTGATGGACACAGGAAGTTTGAACAGTGTGCTGATCATGTTATCCACACTAAAGATCTTCTTCATATCATATGAACCAAACTGCACATATGTATTTACACAGGCTACTTAAAAAGGGAATATCATGATTCATGTTCATGTCTAAGTTCGAGACTGTGACCAAAAAAAATGTAATGGCTTGAAAGTCAATATTTATTTTAAATATTTACATCAACACACAACTATATACATATGTGATCCTAATTGCACACTGTATGAGCTTTGACATATTCTATTAGGAAAAAAAAAGAAAACGATCATTTTTGAGGACATTTTGAGATGCTTTCACAACACTTACCTGAGTGTAAGCATCCTCAATGCTGATATCCACAGCGATCATGAAGAAAATAGCAATGGGGACACCGAAATCTCCAATCATACGACGGATCTTGTGAGAGAGCAATAGATACAATATGACCAAATTCACAGGTACCTACTTGATGGATTTCTCATTTACAATACTTCAGAGTCTTGTCAAAACTACACCTCCCCTAGGTTGGTCTTACCGGGCCTGGAAGGTAATGACCATTCTTGAACTGACGGAGGAAGTATGCGATGAAGAAGCAACCAAACATCAGGCACATAGACAGCAGGGCAGTGTTGGGGTAGGGCCTTTCAATCTCTAGTGGATGATAGGATACGTTGCCATCTGGATGATACTCGATGTGCTCTGTGATGATTGGGTCGAAGGGGTTGTCCGATGTGCTGTTCAGATGTTCGTAGTTCAGAATCAGAGGGTGGGCTTTGAAGATCTGAGCAAGAGGAGAGGAGAGATGTCAGAGGTAGGATAAAAACAGCGAGACAACACATTGAACAGTGATGGCATGGAAATGTGATATGAAATAGATGG